AATCCTTTTGGCGGGAAGCTCTGTTTATTGCTCCCGTTACAATATGCAATTCCTTTTGGCGGGAAGATCTGTTTATTGCTCTCGTCACAATATTTAAATCCTTTTGGCGGGAAGATCTGTTTATTTCTCCCGTCACAATATTTAAATCTTTTTTGCTGGAAGATCTGTTTATTGCTCCCGTCACAATATTTAAATCCTTTTGGCGGGAAGATCTGTTTATTGCTCCCATCACAATATTTAAATCCTTTTGGCGGGAAGATCTGTTTATTGCTCCCGTCACAATATTTAAATCCTTTTGGCGGGAAGATCTGTTTATTGCTCCCGTCACAATATTTAAATCCTTTTGGTGGAAAGATCTGTTTATTGCTCTCGTCACAATATTTAAATCCTTTTTGCTGGAAGTTCTGTTTATTGCTCCCGTCACAATATTTAAATCCTTTTTGCTGGAAGATCTGTTTATTTCTCCCGTCACAATATTTAAATCTTTTTTGCTGGAAGATCTGTTTATTGCTCCCATCACAATATTTAAATCCTTTTTGCTGGAAGATCTGTTTATTGCTCCCATCACAATATTTAAATCCTTTTTGCTGGAAGATCTGTTTATTGCTCCCATCACAATATTTAAATCCTTTTTGCTGGAAGATCTGTTTATTGCTCCCATCACAATATTTAAATCCTTTTTGCTGGAAGATCTGTTTATTGCTCCCATCACAATATTTAAATCCTTTTTGCTGGAAGATCTGTTTATTGCTCCCGTCACAATATGCAAATCCTTTTGGCGGGAAGATCTGTTTATTGCTCCCGTCACAATATTTGAATCCTTTTGGCGGGAAGATCTGTTTATTGCTCCCGTCACAATATTTGAATCCTTTTTGCTGGAAGATCTGTCTATTGCTCTCGTCACATTAATCCAGCAAGCAAAACGGACTCATGTCAGAGGCTTTATGCAAACAGGACAATTAAAAAAATGCCTTTGCATCATCCCTTAGTAAAAATGATTCCTATACTTTTAAACGATTGAATGAAGAATGATTTATGGTACTCAATAGGGCATCATATCAGAGAAAGTTTCTTCGATAAAGCTTATTCCCATAACCTTCTTTGACGAGCCCCCCCTTTCCTGCCAAAAATCTTCTGCCTAAGGGGTTGATTTGATTAGGAGAAATGTTGGTAAAGATCAAAGTGAAAAGAAGAGAGAGGAAAGGAAGAAGGGGGGGTGAAAGATAATTTTTAAGGCGTTGCTAGAGGCAGGCATGGAAGAAAATAGAGAAAGTTTCTTCGATAAAGCTTATTCCCATAACCTTCTTTGACGAGCCCCCCCCCCCCTTTCCTGCCAAAAATCTTCTGCCTAAGGGGTTGATTTGATTAGGAGAAATGTTGGTAAAGATCAAAGTGAAAAGAAGAGAGAGGAAAGGAAGAAGAGGGGGTGAAAGATAATTTTTAAGGCGTTGCTAGAGGCAGGCATGGAGAAATAAGGCACTCTCGTAGGGGCCTTCCTGTCTTGAAAGAGTCAACCTATGTCAGGGAATTACATAAGCTGAAGAATGTTGCTAAGAAAGCAAATAGTTTTGCTTTTTGACGAAGCAATGTAATAATATGATACAATTTAATTATCTTCACTATCTTCTTTCGACATGTTTACCGTCTCAAGGGTTTGAATCCATGTTTACCGTCTCAAAGGTTTTAATCCATGTCTGAGTTGGATCTAATTCCAATCAGAAAATTCAGAAGTATCATAAAAATCATTTTAATATTAAGTTTTTGCATTTGTGCTGATTTGAATCATAATTATTTTAGAACACAAGAAGGAGAAGAACTAAAGGCGAAAAGACAATGGTGTTTTATATGTTGGTCAAAACTTTATAACTTATATATATATTCAATTTTTATTCATATATATGTATTCAATTATATATATATATATATTTCAAGTATTTCTTTGCATTTAAATTTTACTTGCATTTATGAAAGCCCTTTGTAAAAGACCACAAAGAGTTTGAAATAATTATGCTGTGTAAGATTTAAGATATCAAATCAATGTCAAAATTAACAATGTTGTCTTTTCCAATCTTCTTTCGATCACTGCTACTATTTTGCCCGAATTGTTTTACAATGTTAAGAGTGAAAGGATATGGCTTTGAAAAAGGAGACAATTTATAAAATATTGGCTAAAAGCTTTTTCGTCTGACACTCCACAGAGCATGTAACATCAGAATAAGGGTCCGGATGAACACGATGAAAAATATATACCCAGTTGTGGATCGAAATAGGCCAATCAGAAAAGCGCAAGCACAAGACCGGTATAGTTGACCAATCAGTGCCGCGACTCTAAAGAAAAAATTACCACTGGAGTCCAAGAGAGAAAACGAACTCCTTCTGTCTACACAATGGCGGCTTTTTCGTTTGCATGTAGATCGATTCCAAAACCGCTAGATGGAAAGATGAACAGGCTCTGTCAATTATCTGAAACATGTCGTCATTATAGAGTTTTGCACAATCTGGGTTGTCTAAAAGGTGTTGTCCTTTGGCAGAATCACTTGTTTTAACAGTGTTTCTAGACTTACAAGATCGAGGAGGCTGTTCTCTTTGAGGGGCAGTTTTGATTCTTTGAAATGGAGAAATACTAGAGAGAAATATTGTTTTGAAAAAGATAACATAGACTCGAAACAAAATTCAAGAGCTTTATGATTAAATATGCGAAGACTTAAATCACCAAAATCACCTAAAGAAGTTATTTTTGTTTCGTCTAAAAAAATGTTTCGTCTAGTTTACCAAACCGAAAGGAAATGTTCTTGCTTTGGTGCTAATGTGAAACCAACACTTTTTAAAATTAATTGCATAATTTAAAAGTTAAAGTGAATAAAGTTATGAGTCGGTTTTTTAATGAGAAATGTTAACTCTTACCCAACGCCTTTTTTTGCAACAAAAAAGGAATGTCGAATTTATATGGCAGAAAATTTAGGGTAAGGCGACGGGGTAGCTGCAAAAACCTTTCCAAACAAATTAAGGATGGGAAATTTAACATACCGATAAAAATCGAACTTACTAAGGCTTAGATTGGCTGTGTGAAATCCAAAGGAATGCTGCTTAGTTCTCTTTCAAAGTAGCCTTGTTATGTCTTGAGGGGAAACTCAACTAACATGAGGTTTACACATTCAACGTAGAGGGTAACGTAGATTAATAGATTTATCGGTACAGCCCTGTTATATAGAATTCTCAAAGGGAAGTTTCTTTCATTCTGTGGCCAAAACATGGAATGAGATTCCAAGAAACATCAGAATGAGCCCCACAATCTCCATGTTTAAAAGAAACTTGAAAGGATTCCTGCAAAGTTAATAAATTCCCTAAAAAAAACACGATCCCTAGGTAGAACAGCAACACCTTTATTTTATATATATTGAAGAAGTAATTGTAATAGAATAGTTTATTTTATTTTTATTATAGCTGATAGGGAATTCGTGTGTAAAGATTTTTGAAATGAAAATGAAAAAATAACTTCCAAGTAAAGTTTGCTGCAAGAAAAGCCCCAGCCAAAGGCTGTGCCGGATTACGCCCAAATTGGGCCTATTTTCAAAAATGTAGGAAAATGTTTGTTTCTTTTTACCTGGGCTTCTTTGATGAATCGGCCTAATGCTCTAGCACCCAATAACAACCACCTCAATCCGGTCCTTACAGTGGTGTTAAAGCCAAACAAACTTTCTCGAAACATCAAGCCATGTATTCTTGAATGATTGTGTTTTCAATATCATGCTCAAACCGTGAAAAAATAAACGTCAATCAAGTTACTTTGTGTTTCAAAATCACCCACTACACATTCCGTCATCTGGCTACTTTCTCGCGCCTTTCCTCCTTTCCCAAGTCATCGAAAGTTGATACTTGTTATTTTGCAATGAACTTGAAGGTTTCAGAAGATCAAGCTCGCGATAATGTACATGACAGTTTCAAAGATATCCAGATAAACACTGAAAGCAAAAGTGTGAACAGATGAACCCTTCCTCCAAGAATTTTCTTTTCTTGGCAACAAAATGTTTTTGAATGTTGAGAAAACTATGCTTAGATCCAAAAAGTAGAAAGACAACATTTTAAGGGTCAAAACGAAGGCTTGAAATTGGAAATAGACTTTGATGAGCTCGAAGTCACTCAAAGTAGTAAAAATACAAGGAATCTCGGTTCGCATATCGACGGCTCTCTGTCTCTTTGGATTGGAAAAAAATCAAGGCAGTTTCTACCAAGGTCTGTAATGCAGTCAGTTTTCTAAACTATGCCACGCCAAGTCTTTTCTACCAAAAGAATGCTTACAAACTCTCTGTACAAGTATTTTCCAGCAGCACATTTGATATTGTTGCCCTGTCTTGAGCTGTGCTGGTCTTACTGGAATCAAACAGTCCTGCTAGGATGGTAACGAATAGCAGCTTCTAGCCTGAGGCACACCTCTTGTTGACCGACTGGGTTGGAGAACCTTGGATGATCTAATAACTGGTGAATCTCAGATACACTCTTTTTTATGAACCAGTAAAACTGAAGTTCAGGCTGGCTGTCCCTAATTTTCCAAAACTTTGAAGCTGGATTGTTCTTAATTCGTTCTTAAATTGGTAGGGTGTAAGCAGTGTAACCATAATTATTGTACTCAAAGGGAGTATTTAGGCCGCATTTGTCAACAAAGGGAGTCAGTCATCCTAACAAGATTGAAAATTAACCCACTAAGCATCCCTTAACTGGAAAAAACTCCGCGTTCTTGTGATGAAATTTTTCTTAGGTGGTTTCACAACTTTGTTGAAAATAATGATTTACTGTGCCTCAAACTCGGCTTGTTCTTAATTTTTTCTTAACATTTCACCAATTTTGAGGCTTGGGCCTAAATTAGCTGCCTCTACAAGACCTGTGCGAAATATTCATCTGATATTCGTAATGCTCATCTTATAGCCTTCGTTATACTGGTACTAATCTTAGGTCTACTAATCTTTAAAAGAATTAAGTATGAAGTATATATAATTTATAGTTACGCTTTTACGAAAAATTTACGGCATTTGCCAAAACGAGGCTCGAAATGTAACGCGTAAGTCCCCTGTGGTCGATTGGCGCGAACGTCGAGACAGGAAAGCCATTTTGGAAAGAATGTCGGAGGGCTGCGGGAGTAGGAGATTGGAAGAAAGCGAGGGCATCGATTTTAAATGGATTGGGAAACATTATGACATTGATGACAACGGTTGCAAGTATTACAAGTATGAATCTTTTCATTACTGAGTTGCTAGTCATGGGGCCCTCATACATGCCATTCGCCTCGTCAATATTTGTAACTTTACCAAGTCCCAGCCTCTGCAGAGTGTAGCATGTGCCCATACAAGATTTTTTCAGAGGCTTGTCTAATGCATACAAAAACATAGGGCTGCACACACATTTTTCTGGGTACTTGAAAATGTTTAAGGACCCTCCTTTTTGAAACGTTGCTTTCCTATCTTGGTCTAAACAACATTTTTTTTGAAATTTTGAAATGCTGATGAATTGGGACTTTAGTATTCATAAAACAACTTTAACTTGTGTTGGTCAGCATTAGAACCATCTAATTGTCACAAGTTGAAAAAGTTGCTGTCTATAACTAAATTAGAGAACATGTACCACTTTTTGCTATGTGCATTTTTGTGGGCAGATCGAGTTTCTCTAGATGATACTCTCCTCCAGATTTGAGAAGCTCTGGCATGCAAATACATTAGATACTTTTAAATGGCCTTCGCTTACCCTAAATCCGTTGATGCCCAGAATAAAAAATATACTGTTCCAGTTCTCTGAGAAACTACAGTCTTAGGTTTAATCTCAATTTCCTAAGCAAGGGCTGGTAAGAAGAGGCATTTCCGGTTACTAATAAGGGGCATAAAAGGGTCTGAATCAAAGAAAGTAAGATTGTTTGGGAAACTACACTTAGCTGGCTTGTGCTTAAGCATGATTATAGGGTCAAGAATTTACTCTCTAGAGATAATTCTTTGGACTGAATTATGTTAAAATCAACTATTAAAATCAACATTAAATTTAAAATCTTTTAGGGGGCTACATTTCAATCCCACACCCTCACTTAGAAGTTTGACTAACTACAAGGGAGGGGGGTAAAAATAATTGAAATTTAATGATACAAAATATATGATTGACCCAATTTTGTGGAATGCTCGAAAGTGCTTTTGCACAAATAATTTCTGTGCACATATAGTGAGACAAACTGACAAATACTTTGCCACTTAGAAACTTGCTGCACACATTGGATCAAAACTGAAAGTGTACACGCTCTGCACACTTCGTCAGCACTCTTGCATACATGCACACATTTATATTTGCTATTGCATACACAAGATCTTGTAGAGAACTGCTACGCTCTGCAGACTGGACCAAGTCTCTGCAGTACCATCGTTTTCATTATAAAATACAGTATCAAGGACACCGGCGGCAATCAATAATGTTGGAAGGAGACAGTTTGGAAGGGGCATTGTCTCCGACGAAAGGGATACTTTGCCTTAGAAAAAGGGGACTTGTTTTTGGAAAAGGGCACTTTCTCTAAAGATCTCGAGAAGAAAGAATTTCTACAAATGGGATTTTTCAGTATTGAATGATTCCCTTCAATTCCAGCCTTCACTTATGATAAAAATGGCTTTCACTACAATTGATCCCACAGAAAATTAGAATGAATTAAGAAGGATTTTCTAAGAAATTGGGATGAAATTTGTGATTTAAAAGACAGAAAATAAAGTTGTCAGCAGTAAGCGTGCAACTACATAGGTAGGGCTTGAAGGTCACTGCAAACTGTGGACAGTAAACTGACTCGGCAAATTCAATGTTATAATGGTACACAAAGCTGTTTTTACAGTTTCTAACTTGGGTTGCATAATCTGAAAGGTCTCTAAATGTGTGAAATGAGTTAATGTGTTAAAAACTGGCTGAGATTAAAAGTTATTAGTGTATTTTTTAGCGTCACACTTAAGAACTCTATTGTTGCTACTCACCAATTCTAAGTGCTTCAGAAGGTTTTCAAAACGTTTCTACACAAGGAACTAAACAAAGGAAAGTTTAAAAACTAACAAGGGAAAGTTTTGAAACTAGAGAAAAGAAAATAATTAAATAAAGCTCTTGTGTTCAAGGTGACCTCCGAAACAATTTCTTGAGTGAGTTGAAAGCAAAAATAATGGATGAAGGTTGTTAATCCATATCAATCTAGTAATAGGGAAATCGGAAGAACTTTTTTCTTTTTAAATAGAATTTCAAGCAAATAGAAGGCAATTTAGAAAAGCTGATCCAGCAAAAGTGGAAGCACTCTGCAGATTTAACCTAGTAAATAACTTGATTCAAAGCTATCCTGTCATCTTATTAGTTTTCTGTGCTTTGGTGAAAAACAAATGAATAATTTTAAAACAGGCGTGGGATAAAACACACTTCCCAGTATGGGGAGGCGTGTACCAATGCGTGCGAGTGCAATCATGCGAGGATAGGGTTAGAGTTAGGGTCATTGTTCTTAAAGTCACTAGAAAAGCTAGGTAGAGGTGAATAAATTCATTTACACTGCACAGCAAACATATGTAACACTGTTTAGTATTGTGCAACCAAAATGGACAGGACCAACAAACATAAGTTAATATGCTATACATTTTAGGTCATGCTCAATTGATGGTCAAGTGTATGACATCAATGATGATGTGTTAGTGCAAGGGGACAAGGATAAATCATATGCTTGTAGTGTCAAGTGTTTTTATGTTGATGAGTCAAGAGAAGAAGTGAACAGAGCTGAAGTATGTTGGCTCTTTGCTTTCAAAGAATTGCCCAGAAAATGCAGAATTGCTTTAAAGAATTATAGCGTCCATAAGAAAGAAGTCTTTCAGCCCTTAGCTGAATCTGATGGATCATTATTTGAGAATGCGATTGAAGACATTGATGCAGAGACAATTGGATCACTTTGCTTTGTTAAGGAGCTTGGAGTCAAAGAAAATATCCCAACCACTCTGATAAGAATGAATATGTCATGCGATATGGGTTCAATAAGAACGGAGAGTTGGCGGCCATAACAAAAACTGATAAATCTATGAAACATGACAATTGTGCTGCAGAAGGAGTGGAGAAACCGAGTCAGAATGATACAAAAAAAGAGCGAGCCAGGAGAGGTATTTGAATTCACTTCTCAACATATCATGTTTTTGTTTATTTGGCAAAAAGCAATTACAGCAATGTTCCTTGGAGAGCAGTCAATTCTTAGAAAGATGTTTGAACATCCTTGCTTTGAAATTTTTATTTCAAAAAATAACTTTTAACACATTTTTCTTTATTCATAAAAAGTTTGCAATGATATACTGCCCTACTTTTCTTTACAACTACTTTACAAAAATACAAGGATGTTATCATGGCCTATTCATAGAGTTGGACAATGCTAACATATGAAATACAAAGAAAAATACTTAGCTAATTACAAATTCAAATAAAAATTACTATAATCCAGAACATATCAAAGTGTGAGAAAGAATTTGTGTTCTGTCAGGCTATTGTTATCAATAGATTAAGGTTGCCTGTTGATGACATAAAACATGAAACTTTGAGTTGCAACTTACAACATCATCTAAACACAAAAGCATGAATATCCATGTCTATTAATTGACAAAACCCTATATCAGGATTACTTAAACTATGAAATTTTGTACAAGTCACTTCATTCTGCCACACTCAATGACTTTTGTGCCTTTGGTGAACCCAAGCTTCTGCACATTGGCCCTCCCACCAGAAGGACTGGATTGCAATCAAAGTGTCACATGGTCGATTGTTGGGGAAGTTATTGCTTGTCACCCCTTTGACCGCAGGTTACAGGCACCAATGTAACAGGCAACAAGCACAGCGGCAGCAAACATTTTTGCTCTATGTTCACCAAACCATGAACATCCATCCTTATACATCGACAAGCTTTTTCATTTCTTGCCAATTGATATATGCTAAAAATTTTTTATCTTCAATTTATCTAATGCATCTTAGTTTTTACTGAATGGTTATATTTTCACAGCCCAAACACCAAGCAGAGAAAAAAGCAAAAGAAAGGCAAGCAAAAGTATCCCAGATGAAGGAAGAGAAATAATTTTTGCAAAAAAGAATAGAAATCTGGCTCCTGAGCCAACTACCTACCAAGCCAACAAATCATTCAGTGAGTCATTTTTAGTGAGTGATATTTCAGTGAGTGTTATTTCTTGTGTAAACCACGTGATTTCCAATTTATTAAAATTTATCTTGCCTCCATTGCTGCTTCTTTTAGTCAACCATTTATTTAGACATTCCAAATCTTCGAAGCTGGATATTAAGGCCTCTCTAAAGTCTTTTCCTTGCGATGGCATTTGCAGGATAAAAATGTGTAAGACAGATATATCTTATTAAAAAAGTTAAAACCAAATGTGCCTCTGTATAGGGCTTTATAGACAGGCATAAAACTGGCACACAACTCCGATATTCTTATGAACTTTCAACCAGAGTAGGTTGCGTTATGCCAAAGATTCTTAATCACATAAAACCTGGCTTCAAAACCTTTAGTAAATTGAGTTGGATGAACATCTATTGAAATGTCAATTGTTTATGAAATGTTTGATGATGTCAGATTCTGCTGAGGCTCTGAGCGAATTGATGAAAGAAGGTGATGAAGATGTGTTTTCTTCTGGAGATGAGAGCTCACTCGCATCGGTTGAAACAAGACCGGTTCCAGATTCAAATAATAATAACAAGACTGTTAGAAAACCAGAGCTGAAAGAACAGTCAAAGGCATCAGTGGACATCGTAAGAAGAAGGACCCCTCGAGACACTCCAAAGAGAAGCGTTAACTCTCTGAAGACAAGGCCAAACACAGCCAATGAAAGTAAGACTCATTTTTATGTATTAGAAAATTTATCTTCATCCTAGAATGTCAGATTTCTTGAAAATATGTCAAAACATAAGACTTGAAAGGATGCTTCTGGTTGGCTGCATTGTCAAAATATCTTCAAAATTTCTGACCAGCTTAGTAAAAACTAATGTTTTGTTTAAAGATGGAAAACAATAGTAGAAAATTGATTCGAAATTCAACAAAATGATATTGTTATCCTGAAGAAAAAGGGAGTATAACATGCAATAACATTTCTTTAATATTTATTCTCAAGGTGCAAGTCGGCCACAAAAACAAGTCTTGCGCCACAAAACACCGCAAAAGGATGTTCTAATTGATGCTGTCGTGGAGGAGGTTCACTACCATGGGCTAAAGGTGAAATCAAAATCAAAGAATGAAATCGTCAGCATTAGCGGTGACGATGATCATGATGATGATGAACTTGTGGACGGTGAATACAAGCCTGTTGGGGGGTCAGAATCAGAGACTGATGATGAAGGAGAAGAGAGTGTTGACGAATCAAGTAGGTTTGATTTATTCCAATTTTTGCACGCCACTCTAGTGACGCCATTCTAGTGACGCCATTCTAGTGACGCCATTCTAGTGACGCCATTCTAGTAAGGCTGTTCCAGACCGATTTAACTCCCAAACCGAGGCGACCACGATTGGACTAGTATGATTCCAAATTTGCTTTAAGAATTGGCAAGCAAAAAACTGCCCTTCTCTCCGGGCGAAATATAAGACAATCTTTTGAAACATTTTGGTCTATCATATCACTTTATTTACATTGGATTGGTATGTGCGCGCGCTTCAATGTTGTCTTGCAGCGCGCACATCCCAAGACAGAAGCTGTACAATTTGTATAGAAACTTTAATAAAGATTGATAATGTTAAAAATATGCTGTAGAAACTATAACAAGACCACAAAATTTATATATTTTCCATTGTGTTCTTTCGGAACCTTATTCTGACGTTTTATGCTCTGAGGAGTGTCAGACGAAAAAGCTTTTAGTATGTCGTAAAATGTTTGCTTTTTTCAAAGCCATAACCACAAAATTTATAATTATTTCGTCCGCTGCAGCACTGCCTGAATCACAGAACATAAAAAGGCGTTATCAAAAAATCTTCTTTTTGAATTTAAGAATTTTGACCCCATAACCAGATAGAACAATACAAAGTACCTTTCAATATGCAAAATCAGCTGAATCTGTTCAAAATTGAGTGAGGTACTTATGGCCAGTGAAAGACGTGGTATTTGCTAATGATTGCTGATGTTTTTGTCTGGTTCATGAGTTTTAGAGTCATGGCCCATTCACACTGGTTTGATGGGAAATCGAGAATTAATGTATAAAAAGTGACTTATTTCAAAGTCCGTACTGCTGTTGACGGAAGGGGGCGCAATAGAGACGGGGCTTAATATAGCTTGTTCGTATGCATATCCGAATTACATAGTTTAGCATTGTACAAGAGCTTTGTGTCTTCCTTAGCTCAATTTTTAATTTTGGTGCCACATTTCAACAGCAGTATGATAAGGATGACGCTGTGTTGGCGCCATATAAGATGCCTGAATGATTCTCTGTTTCTAAAGCGTGCAACAGAACTTGATCCTCTCCTTACGTTGAGGTCCGTTTTATTGCCAGTTGTGTATTTTTGTAGCTTGTTCAGTTTAATGCAGTGATCATAAAGAAAAGGCTTTCACACTGTGGATTCAGTTTTTTAGTTTAATCTGTAATCTGTACAAAAGAGAACAACGACATTCAATATTGTCTTAAAGGTTCAGATGGAAGTATGGATACATCAAGGAAAAAACATGACCGATCAGTTGCAGCCAGGACACCAGCAACTAAAAGTTCAATAAAAACAAAGAAAACGCCAAGGAAATCCTTACACACACCGGCTAGGACGCCGCGCGGAATGGGAAAACGAAATTTCACGCCGTCGATCTCGGATAGGAAGGCGCCGCGGTTGACGCCAAGAACGCCACTGCAGCAGGCACGGCAGAGGTATGCGCGCAAATTATTATGTACTCGGGGGGATAGTTTATGGTGAGGGTGTGTTCAAGGGGGCTACACAAGCCCTAGTATATCATGAGTTAATAAAGCACTTCCTTTATTTATAACAAATTATTTTGTACCTTTGTATAAATTAAAAATTTTGTTAAGTTATGGGTTACTTTCTTCAGGACGCATGCGCACTGACCGGAGGAAGTCCAAGAAAAGCAAAGGAAAGCGCGAATACGGAGTTTTTCTTTATGTCTCACCTATTTGTTCTAATAAAAGCAAGTTTTGTATAGAACTTGGTAACATTTGACTCAATTACTTTATGTCATGGAAATCGAGTAATTTGTCTTGAGTCCATTTGTCTTGAGTCAATTTGTTTACGTGAACATTTTGGCGTATGATTAACTTGCCATCTCTTTGCAGGCTGCATGTGTCCGCAGTGCCAGAATCATTACCGTGCCGCGAGCAGGAATTCGCAGATATCTATGCATTTGTCGAAGGAAAACTCAACTCAAGCCTTGGAGGGTATGTTTTTTTTACTTCTACCCGTTATTCACTCAACAGCTAGAACATTTTCATGAAATGTAGAGTTTTTCCGTTACCTCGGAATACCGATGCTTCCTTTCCCAAAATATGTCATACAATCTTCTTTCGCAAAATTCCAGTTCAGTGCTGAATTCATTTTTTCCCAATCTACAAATTAATTCTTTCCACTGCTCCCTCACTGTGCCACTTTAACCCGGAATGCGTGGTCTTGTTATCAACGAGCGTCGCTTAAGAGTCGGTCACTCTGATTGGCTGATTGGACCGCTCGTGTCACTATCAGGTATTTAAAACGCTGCTGAAGAAGTGTTTCCTATGTCACCAAGTTAAAATGAGTTTAACTTTTTTCACTTTTCGCTTGCGAAATCCTTCAGCAGCCAGTCACAGTCAATATCCCTTTGTCACGCTTCCAAAATTTAAGGTTAATTGCCCTCTTTAAGGTTAGCTAACTCGGATTGCCCTCTTTAAGGTTAGCTAACTCGGATTGCCCTCTTTAAGGTTAGCTAATATGGATTGCCCTCTTTCTGATTGATGCAAATTTCCCACTTTGTGATCAACTCGGATTGCCCTCTTTAAGGTTAGCTAACTCGGATTGTCTCTTTCTGATTGTTGCAGATTGTCCACTTTGTGATAAACTCGGATTGCCCTCTTTAAGGTTAGCTAATACGGATTTCCCTCTTTCTGATTGATGCAAATTTCCCACTTTGTGATAAACTCGGATTGCCCTTTAAGGTTAGCTAATACGGATTGCCCTCCTTCTGATTGATGCAAATTTCCCACTTTGTGATCAACTCGGATTGCCCTCTTTAAGGTTAGCTAACTCGGATTGTCTCTTTCTGATTGTTGCAGATTGTCCACTTTGTGATAATATCGGATTGCCCTCTTTAAGGTTAGCTAACTCGGTTTGTCTCTTTCTGATTGTTGCAGATTATCCACTTTGTGATAAACTCGGATTGCCCTCTTTAAGGTTAGCTAACTCGGATTGCCCTCTTTAAGGTTAGCTAACTCGGATTGCCCTCTTTAAGGTTAGCTAATACGGATTGCCCTCTTTCTGATTGATGCAAATTTCCTACTTTGTGATTAACTCGGATTGCCCTCTTTAAGGTTAGCTAACTCGGATTGTCTCTTTCTGATTGTTGCAGATTGTCCACTTTGTGATAAACTCGGATTGCCCTCTTTAAGGTTAGCTAACTCGGTTTGTCTCTTTCTGATTGTTGCAGATTATCCACTTTGTGATAAACTCGGATTGCCCTCTTTAAGGTTAGCTAACTCGGATTGCCCTCTTTAAGGTTAGCTAACTCGGATTGCCCTCTTTAAGGTTAGCTAATACGGATTGCCCTCTTTCTGATTGATGCAAATTTCCCACTTTGTGATAAACTCGGATTGCCCTTTAAGGTTAGCTAATACGGATTGCCCTCTTTCTGATTGATGCAAATTTCCCACTTTGTGATAAACTCGGATTGCCCTTTAAGGTTAGCTAATACGGATTGCCCTCTTTCTGATTGATGCAAATTTCCCACTTTGTGATAAACTCGGATTGCCCTTTAAGGTTAGCTAATACGGATTGCCCTCTTTCTGATTGATGCAAATTTCCCACTTTGTGATTAACTCGGATTGCCCTCTTTAAGGTTAGCTAATTCGGATTGCCCTCTTTCTGATTGATGCAGATTGCCCAATTTTTGATTAACTCAGATTACCCTTGCAGATTGCCCACTTTAAGAGAAATTCGGATTGCCCTTGTAGATTGTCCACTGCAATAGAAATTTGGATTGCCCTCTTTAAGGCCAATTGACTCAGATTGCCCCCTTCAGATAACGCGGATCAACCTCTGCAAATGACCAGCCAAGAACTAGTTGAATATCCGTTCTAGTTCAAACGGATGGGAGAAGAGAATCTTAATTGATGACAGATACTGGATATGTTAATTTATAGACATATTACAAATCTTTTGATATAGAACTATTTTCAAAATTCTGAAAACAAGTGGCAAAGTCCTAAGAAATATCCACGTTTTCACTCAATTTCTATGCAAAAGAGAGATACGAAAACTTTTTTATTTCATCGACAATCTGAAAGAGAGCCTGAAGAAGGGACTTCGAAACTGCAACTCTAGATACTCTCATAATGAAACCGTTGGTTAATGTTTTGTTGCGTGGGCAAGGCTTCGTGTCAGCCAATCTTTGCTCATCCATGTTGCCTTCATCAATAGGATTTCGGTTATTTTACAAACAGGTTATTTTACAAACTCCTTTGAGATTTCTTTGTCATTTTCAAAAACCGAATTAAGCTAAATGATGATTCGGAGGTAAATCCCATGATGCATCGGCAAGTATTGGCGAAACTTGTGGTAAAGGACAATTTGAGAAAGAAAGCCCTCTTGAGACAGCAATTGAAAAGAGTTTAGACATTGAAAATATTTGCAAAACAAACGAGCCAAAAACTCCATGCTCTCGCACTTTTTTCAAAAATTATGGACCAGGAGAAGCTACAGGGAGTAATGAATGCTATTGTGTATCTCCATTTAGTTACTGTTTTGTAATTTGAATGTTTCACGATATAAAAGTGAACAAAAACAGATAAAATCTACGAAAGAGCACCAGGAATTGCTCGCCAACAAATGCAGATTCAGTCATCATTTACCTTTCATCATTGTCATTTACAAGAAATATACAGTTGCTATCTTTAGAAATGAAAGACCTAAAATGAAATGAATACCAAAGTCATCTTTGTAATTTTTGCTGAGAAGAAAATCTCATATAGACTGGGAAATAATGACAACTTTTCAGTAGCAATGCGACACAAATCCGAATGGAAAAGAGACAAACAGATACATTGGACATAACTATGGCATTCGTTGCCACTAGAAATAAAAGCGTCCCCTACCTTGACTGAGTTTAGGGTGAGAAACATTAATTGAATAATTGCAACAGAAGATTTTGTGTGAAGCTCATACGTGATTAAGGGTTTCTAATCATTTAACTGTATCTTGGTTACATGGAGAAAATGTAAAAAGGATAATTAGAATTAACTTTAATCTCCGTTTCAGTTGGTGGTTGCTGTTATTAACATTGTAATGGGGAAAGGGGATTACGCGTGGGTGCTTTCGATAAGGGCTGGAGGAATCAAAATTACTCCTCCAAGTGATTGTGGCTGATTTCTCTTTTATTGTCCCTTTTGCTTCTTCCCGCTTCCTCTTCTCTCCTTAGAGGCCATGCCTAGGCCATGTCGGGACATGTTCTGACTTAGCTACTAACCGTTTGGAAGTGCTTTAAACATAACACTGCGCCTTCTACAGGATTACAGTTGATCAAACTGACAGGGCAGCTACGCGGTTTGAAAATTCGAAAACTGAATAGCAAAAATTGATCTTGAAAAACATTTCTTAGGTAAGCCAGATGAGAATTACCAGCTTCCTATGTATTTGTGCTCCCAATCTCTCTTAAAAAACAAACACCATAGACCAGGTACTAGGGGGAATCAAATACGACCTTCTAGTCAGTTCTACTCAAAACGTTGTGATATTCACTTTAATTCGTGTGTAAAGTCGTTCTCTGCGTTTTTTGTTTTATGAATCGAAACAATTTGGAGCCGCAATTTTTTCTGTCTGAAAATTTAGAAATTCGGACCTTCAGCCTTAAAAAAGTGACAAAGACAATCAAAGCGATAAAAGAAAACTGTAAAAATGCGTGGAATGGGATCGAGATACAGCGATTAACACTCGTTTTGGTTCGTGAAGCAATAAAACGACATCCATTTATTTAGATACTTAGAAGATAAGATAAAGAACTATCTAAGTTCTTTATTTTAACTTGATACTAATTAGGAATTGTTACCTACTTTTAAGTGGGTTTACATTTTAAATGAAGCTTTTCGATGTCTAGACTCATCTGATCTTGAAGCCGGATAAATTTCAACAAAATTTGCATTGGGCAAACCTCTTTTTGCCTGACACTCCTCAGGGTGTAAACATCGGATAATGACCAGAAGTAAGCTAAATATCTAAATTCCACCAGATGGGAATAAAAAGTAACCAGAGAGAAAGAATGCATGACCAGTCAGCAACTGTTAACCCTTTTCAGAACTGTGAAGTTCACGAAAGAAAACTCTTTCTTCGCCAAAAAAAACACAAACTTTTCTTCCCCATTGGTTTTACAAATGTTTTCACTATAAGTTTTGGTGTACTTGTCATTCTAGATTAAATTTTGACCCATTTCCAATCATATTTCATTGTGGTTACGTCGCATTTACAATCAGGGCATTACTGTTTTCTTCCATTACTTTTCTTCCTGATTTTTGTAGGAAAATGTTGTCAATTTTGTTCACTACACTGTCTTTACTTTTGAATGTTCCTTAATTGTGAGAATAGAGGACTCAAAGCTTTTTAAAGGTTTCTTATATTTTGGATGGCAGAAAATTGTAAAAATGAAGCAAATCAACTTTGATGCAATTCTGTTTGTTGTATACAGTAGAACCCCACATAAAAGAACCACCAATTTTAGAATCTTTGCCCTAAAATTGCATGATTTTGATCACTGAAACAAGGATCCAACTGACCCTGGAAAATTTTATTTAAGTTCTTATATTCCCAATTCTTATAATATATTCTATTATGTCCACAATTAGCAGAAATGTTAAATCAATCTGACACTGTAATAAAGTTATTATTATTATTATATTTTTATTATTATTATTATTATTATATTAACTGTTGGGTTCGAGACTAACCTGGACAATAACGCTTCGCGTAAAGCTGAGAAGTACTGTTCCCTTCTAAAGGAACTACGCCCTAAGTTCAAAAAAGTAAACTTTGTTAATCTATCTATCTATCAGCTGTCTCGGTATCTTTGGTAACTCCTGTGATTCTTTCATCGATATGTGTGATGAACTAAAACTTGACTACCAACACCGTAATTTTATAATTAAAAAACTGTCAGCAATAATTATACGCACATCCTATTATATATTCTGTATGCGCAATAAGACTTGGACAAACCCTGAACTGCTCTCCTTCTAAAGATTCTTTGCACTCATATGATTTATTTAAATGTTATAACTTTTGTAAAATTAGTAAACTTGTCACCAGGCTAGCCGATAGTAACTACCTGTAAAGTGAGGTTACTGTTGTAAGTAGAAGAATATAAAATAAAAAATGTTTTCATTATTATTTTTGTTATTATATTATCATTTTTATTTTTATATTATTATTATTATTATTATTATTATTATATTCAAGATGCTAAACTCTGAATTTGTACACATCTGTAAAAAAACTGGAGTTTTATTTTAAGATAGATGCACCATTTTCCAAAGTTTGATTAAAATCGAAAAATGAGTATACAGTAAGTATCCACATGCAAGAAAACTGCTTGAGGCCTCACAAAGTTTGTTTATTATCAGAGACTTTTCAGAATACGGGTTTAAGTTTCTTATCAATAGGTACTGTCAGGTCAAATCAAGTCAAGCTTTGTGACAGTACCTTCCATGGACGTGTATTCAATATTTCTGGTAGTAGTGTATAATACATAATCTAAAGTATAATTTTTCATATCAATAGAATACACACGCTACAACCATCCTAGAGCATAAACAGAAAATAAATAACACAACTGTTTATACTTGAAAATATGAAACATTTTAATTTCAGGCTTAGAAATGTTTCTTAAAAAGTGAGCCCCTTTTGAAGAAAACAAGGCCTGTTTCTTATATAAGGGGGTTGCTTTTATGCTTGTATTAACTGTATAGACAAAGCATTAAAAACTTTACCAATCAGTATATTTAGAAGTATTGTTGACATAAATCAATTCAAGTTGCTCATTTTTGCAAGAAAAGTACTCAAGTAAGAGATCATAAAATTTTTATCACAACTTGATCTGTCTCCATTGTTTCTGTCACTTGTTTTGACAGAAAAGAAACACAGAATGTTATTTTTGACAATAATAGTTAAACTTAAATTAACAATAATCAGGACAAAGCAAGATATCAGCTACTTCTTGATCATATGTTGGTTGTCAGTGTCTGTAATTTACTAACTCACCAACACGGCACTTTCTTAAGTTTTTGTTCAGTAGAATAACTTTTCCACTGCTTTATGTTCTTATGCGTGAGAACTCATTGGCTTGAACCAGGTTTTAAGAACCTTAATCAAAAGTACTACCCTAAATGTTTTGTTAAAATTTCTTCTTTTACAAGAAACTTTAAGCCTAAGTCTAAAACTGAAGGAGGTGAAGGAGGCTGGCTAATGATTGGATTTTTGTGTCACACCCTTCAGGTGATTTAAAAATCACAGAAACACCGATTTTCAAAATTCAATTTCTTACTTTGAGGCAAATTCGATTATAACATAAAAAAGTAAATTTTTTGCATCATATTATTACTATTGATTAACAACAAAATTATTTTTGCTGAATCACAGCAAAAGTTACAGAAGGACACAAGTATTTCTATTGCAAAGCACAACCCCTACACCTGGTGGCAAATCCTTCCCTTTGAGGATCAGTTCAGTTCAGTTCCGTTTCATTTATTAAATTCCACTACATACAATGCATCAATAACAAGACAAGCATACATCTAAAATACAAGAAATTAATACAATATACCAATACAAAACATAGACACAAGATAGATTGTATGGAGGGAATTACTTACAGGAGGAGCTCTCTCAGTAGTTAGACTAATCGAGGAGAGAACACCCCCTATTATAAAAGTATCTCATATAAAATTGATTTATTTAATTGACATTATGATGTTGACAAAACTACTTGATGGGCAGATGGTGACATTTTTGATATCCACTTTTCCAAAATTTAGTACTTAGTTTCAAATAGGAAAGCTTGGATTTTTTGTCGAAAACTATTAACAGATGGGGATTTTTTTTTTCACAGGAGTGTCATTCCAGTAATTAGCTCCACAATAACGCACTGACCTAAGACCCTATTGCAGGGTATTTTTTGGGTTAAGAAAATATTATTTTTGATGACTTGCCGAGTACCATATTCAGGAGCGGATCCAGCAATTATTCTGAGGGGTGCTCATACAGAAAGTTTCATAACTAAGGGCGCTGCTATTGACAAACATCGTACCCCTGTTAATATGCCATAAAGATAATTTAAGCCTGCTGTAACCTGAGATGCCAGAATGACTCAATTTAAGAATTTATGTAAAAGTTCAAAAAAAATTTAAAAGTTTATTAACTTTCTTGCTACACTTCAATCAGTAGCTTACTTATCAGTAGTTGTAACTTAAGATTCAATAACACAGATATCCATAGAATACTTTCAGCTATTCCTAGACAAAGGCAAATAGTTCAAAAAAATTGAAAAGACATGGTCGCCAAGTGCAAAAGTAGATTCCTCCGCAGAGGTAATAGAAAGGGACAGATTTTTCTCTGCAGCCATGCCTTCTATATTTCCTGCGCAATGAATTACGATTTTTTCAATGATGCGGTTGCTTAATTCGACATAAATAGTCGAGTTAGTTGCCAAAGATTGAGCATAAAAATACACGGGATATAAGTATGAAGGCTTCAGCTTTGAGGCATTGTGTATGAAGTACGATGAACCAGAACACAGCACTTTCAAATTTTCAGTCAGTGTATGTAACAGTTTGGAAAACGAACTCTGAAAAACGGAAATGATTGGCAATTAACGCTTTTTTCTCGCGCCACATAATTATGTGAGAAAAACAAAACATAGGAAGGGCGAGTAAAGGTTATGAGTAAATTGAATAGTGTGTTAGTGTGTGTGGTAAAGAAAAAGTAAACAATAGGGAATGTGCAATATGAGAGTGATGTAGAGATGCCTGAGCTGCGACTGGCTGCGATGTGAGAATGTGATGGAATGGATGAAAAGGGGAAATCAACAAAAACAGACCTAAGTAGAGTCACTACAAATCACACAAAATTTCAAATTCAAGTCAATCGTTCTTCTTATTTGTGGCTCACTATACATTGTTCTTATAGCAGTGTTGAGGGGTTACATAATAGTCAATTTGAACAATCCATGAACCAATTATAACAAGTTGTCCATTCTTGCCGGATAATCCCAAAGAATTCCAATTTTTACTCTGAATCCCAGATTACAATTTCTGATCCCAACAGCTTTTCCACAGTCCCAGTTTCGTGAAATCTTGGATTGAATAATCCCAAATGGCAACTCTGGTACAAGATGAGAAAAAACCTACAAATTATCGACACCCACTAACATACAAATTAGTAGCCTGAGTTCCAGACTTTTAGTTTGGAGTCTGAAAGTCAGGCTAACTAATTAGTAGCGTACTAGTAAAGACTAATAAGTACAAGATGAGAAAAACCTAGTTACACTCATTTTTTTAAAAGAAACAGGTTATAAGAAACGGTAGGTTAAGGAAGTTAAGAAACAACCCTACCCAAATTGAAAAAAGCTAAGAAACTTTTATAATTTGCAGTTTTAATTTTCCGAGTTAACATTCGAAACAGTCTTATCATTGAACATCACTGTATATTGCAACACTACAATTGACAGACAGTTTGCATTCATTCTCAGTAAACTGCACACTCAAGTAATTTATCTCTGAATGTGAGTGAACTATTTACTTTACTTGGAAGCACGTTTAAAAATTCATTAGGTACCAAAGAAATTTAAGAAACATCTAAGAAACTTCTGATAACAAAATGGCCAGAAAATTTAAGAAAATGCCTACCAGCACCGGATCTTAGTTTTTTATAAAAAATACGTGTTTTCTTGTAGATTTTGTTGTTTTTTGAAAAAATTTGAAGTAAACAACTTTAAAGACCTTATCTCTTACCTGATGGGTACACGATCTCCAGCTCTGCAGTTCTCGCTTTTTGGAAACTGTAGCAAAGAAGCCGTACATAGTGTTCTTTCTTTCCTGGACTCATTGTAAATTTTCCAACGTCTAACATCTATTTCACGTTGAAATACCCGCTTGATATCTTCAAGCGTATCTCTTTTTACCCTACTACCAATTAATCCACTGTCGATGTTATACTTCAGCTGTCTTAGTAGCGATTTTGGATAATTGTCAGTTGTCATATTCAATGGCCTCTTAAATCGCCAGAAAGGACTTCGAAAACATATCTTGTAAATTTGCGCTACACCTAGCCATTTGTGGAACTTTCCATAGCTTTGCCTAAAATTTTAGCTAATCAGTCCCCCTGTTTAAGGTGATATCATAATTCAACTCCCCCTGGTCAATGCCAACTCCCCCTGGTCAAATTCCACAATACATTTGACTGTAGTTAACAGGGAAGAAACTCCCCCTGGTTAAGTCGGTATTCTTTGATATTTTAGATTTTTGAAATCCATGGGTTCTCGCGCCAATGTTGAGAACCCCTCGATCTGGCACAGTGATTGGCTAAATTCACTTCCACGGGTGCAGAAACTGGTATAATTTACAGGCCACGGGTGCCTCGAATGGCTGGGTTATAGAGGAGACAATGGTTTCCGAGTCTGTAGAATGCTATATAGCGAAACCAGGGGGAGTTTAATAGCATTTCAATTCTTCAAACGAAAAAATAGCGCTAAACACTTGTGAGACGGGGCACTAAAGCGGATGCTAGAATTTCAGGTTGTTGTGCGTAGTACTCAGAATTGAAGAGATTGTGCCTTCAATTGCTATTAAAAAAAGCCTGCGAAATCTGAGGGGTGCTTGAGCACCCCTCGCACCCTACTGGATCCGCCCCTGATATTGATGAACAGACTCAACTAACTTAAAGAAAAAAAGTGAAAACAAGAAGGAGAGATTTTATTTACACATTCATATACAAAACTAAGCAATTTCAGGTGAAAGAGATCTTGTAGTTTTAGAATCTTCAAGTCTGAAAAGATGGGTGTAGAAGGTGCAGTAAAGTGTTCAAATGAAATTGCCCTTTTCTGTAACAAGGATGTTCCTGTTCCAAGATGCAATCACTCATTAGCATATTTCAGGTGTATCAAGTATTAATAAAGGGGGCAAGAGACAGCTCTTGATTGTCAAGGGTGCAAGGGACACACAAGGCCATAAATCTAACCAATTGGCTGCGAGTGGAGGGGGGGGGTTCTCAGCAGAGCAAACAAATATAGAGGTAAATAGCTCCACAAAACAATTTATGGCAGGTGATAAGGGCCACAGTTGAAGAGAAAACCACTTGAAAAACCATTATACAAGATTTAAAGATTTATTAGAAATTTTTCAGCTTTATGGAATGGTCCTTGGTATTTTTATGATTTTATAGACAAAAAAGTTATATTTTAGATGTTTTACAGTGGATTTGTTAAGATGGCTAATATAATTTTTTTCTTAAAGATTGATATTGTATGTAGCAGAATTTTAAAATTATAAACTGAAACTTATTAGGATTTATTAAGATTTACTTAAGGGGTATACAAGATATTTGGGGCAATTTGCCCCTTCTGCCTGGTCACTGTTTAATAAAATTAAAAGGAAAAGGTTTTGCAACAGTATTTTAACATTAATTGCATTGCAGTGTGCAGAGAACCTAAACTTTCAGCAGGTCACTAAGAAATAAACATCCCTTAACTGAAATTTGACCAAAATCTGAATTATTGCATTTTCTCACACCAGTTAAAAAAGTCTTCAACGAAAACTCCCTAAAGACATGTATGCTCTTGTCTTTGTCTGTAAGATACACAATAAGCTAGTTCATGAAGCTAAATTGCCAATATGATTTCCGCATAGATGGAACAAACCATTGGGTGAGCTAATTGAGTGTTTCTTTATGAAGCTCTCAGATAATTTTCCAAGAGCTTCATTAATGGAAATGAACCATTCCAGAGCTTTTAGTTAACTGAAGCTTAAGACCATCAGTGGGTAAACATTGTAGTGACAAACCAGGTACGAAGGATTCCGTTTCTTTCGAAGAATACAGGGAAAATGTCTCACACAAAATCATTTGCTCAAATTTTTTACTAAAGGGAGATCCAGTCCCTCTGCCCCTCCAGATTTACAGCCCTGGGGACACTTATTTGCTTCAGTAGGAAAATTTGCTGTGATTATTATGCAGCACAGTATTTTAATTTCTGTATTTAGTTTGATGACATTACAAAACATGTTTTTGTGAAATTTTCCTTGAAAGGTATTGATTTAGAACTCATGGGTACAATTTCTTCTACCATCACTCTGTTTTTTATCACTCTGTTTCTTCTTCTACCATCACTCTACCATCATTCTACCATCTTCTACCATTACCATCTTCTATCATTCTTCTACCAGCACTCTGTTTTTTATCACTGTATATGAAATAAAGTTGTTTATGTGATAAAATTTTTCAGTTTTGTATAAGCTCAGTTGATGGTGCAGGAACCAGAAAATTGTAGAAAATACTACATCAAATCAAAAGAAAACACTTAAGTTTAAGTTTAAGTTTAGTGGGTAGTCATACATCTTTATGTAGTTTACAACTGGTAGAATATTTGAAGTTATTGACTATCACATTCAAAAACTCAAGTTTCTCAGATTATCCTAAAGCAATTAATCATGGCTGTTATATTTTTGTGCTCACTAACCGACAGGGCTGTCGAGAGCCAGCTCTTGCTCCAGAGTGATTCACAAAACTGGACCCCTTAAGAAAAGAACCTGTTTTTATAAGAACCTTGAGGCTGAAATTTAATCTTTTAAACCTCATAATTAAGAACCCCCAAGAGGCTGTAGTTTGGAAAGGTTCTTATATGTATTTTTGAAAAGGTATTTTTGTACCCTATTCACACTGGCAAATTAAACCAGCTTAGAGTAAATCAGGTTATGGTATTTCACATTCTAACAGCACAATATCATTTGATTGGCTTACAATTAACATGAAAAAAATGGCTGGTTTAAGTGTTTCTGTTAGAATCCTTGTGGTGGAAAACATTGTTAACGTGTGCAAGGCCTGTACGTATATAAGAACCTTGTTAAGAACCTTTTAGACTGGAATTTAGAATAGCACCCTGTTAATTAAGAACCTATTCAGGCTGCCAGAAAAAACCTAGGTTCTTTAATGCTGGTTTCTACTGTAGTTAATTTCTAGTTATAAAATATATGCTGACAAATAATTTTTAACTTTGCTACTGTGAAAGAAAATAAACTTCAAAAGTATTTTTAAAAATTTGCAGTTATTGAATTGTAACTTTTTCTTTTAATGTTCAATGCAAAGTCAAAATTAGAAGAAAACTGTTGCCTACACAACCATAAAAACATTTCAAGTTGTTGCTTGCTGTATAAAATGATTTCAAAAGAAAATAATTGTCTAACTCTCTTTGTTTCTTGCACACATGATGGATGGAAACCGTGGAAAGAACCTGTGTTATTACTCTGGAAATTCCCTCTATTTCTTTTCTGTGAGGTCTTAAAGATCTGTCAGCAGCCTTCTGCGACGTCTCTTGTAGATCGGCCGTTGAATGCGAGTTCTTTTGCTTCCGGGTTGGAATAATTCCGCGATGACGACATCAGACAAGCCGTTTGCCATTCAACGCTCGAACAATTTTATCAAAGCAAAGAAATAAATTTTATTTTATAAGTGAACTATTACTGTTGGTATTTATCGCTGACAAAAGTAATAATGGAAAAGATCGAGAGAAGCTTGATTTGCACGAAGGATGGGCCTACGGCCTAAAAACATTTGAGAAAGTCTTGAATGATTCGTTACCTTCATTTTGTGTAATTGGCGAAGTCAAACCAGTTGCGTGCTTGAACGCAGGATTTTGAAAGCTCCATAGACTCTATTATATTTGTAGAAAAAATATGAATTTGGTTGCATGAAGCTTGCTTTATTTCTCTGAAAACTTACGGCATAATCGAAGCAGAATCTTACAGTTGGATCGATCCAGGGGGGTTGACCTTGTCAATGAAATGCTATTGTATGATTTGTGCAGAGGATGCAAGGCTAGTTTCGCATCGTCCTAAAATAGAGATCACGCCATTTAGTCAAAAAATGATGTAATCTCGACACCACTTTGAATTTTTATTTTCGACGCTTTGTTGATTGGTTTTGCTCGTGTGGGTGTACGTACAATTTGTCATCAGTTCACCATATCTCGAGAATTATCTAATGGCGCTGTAATTACTCACTTTCCGAAATAAACCTTTAGCATGGTCGAATGTGATTATAACAATCAGCTTAGTTGTAGTAAAATATAAATTCATGACGTGAGGTATATTTTTGTAAAACTTTCCTTTAAAAAATGCGATTTATCGCGAGATGTTATTGTTCTTTTCTAAAGATATGTCGTGTCTAACTTAATTAATGAAATCAATCTTTTCGGAAAGCTAGATAAGCATTGTTATATACAATGTCACCTCATTCAAACAAGATATCTCAAGATTGCGTCTCTTTGCCTTTAAAACATGCTAAAAATCAACATTTGGTTGAAGCGAGGGGCAAATCGCTAAAAACTTTCGCACAGTTTGCTGAAAAGTCTCGCGAAATCTGAAAAATCTCAAGAATTCCTAAGAAATTTCTAAAGTTCTAAAAACTCTGGAAAATGTCAAAAAATCTCAAAACCTCTGAAAACACTTTTATTTTGGGCTTCTTATGTGTAAAGAATCGACTGGTGCGAATTCTCTGATGCGAAGACATAAAAACGTACAGGTTATTGAACAAGTTTGACTGCTACCAAGGCAGAAACAAATCATTTAAAGCATCAAAAAATTTCAGTCCTCATAAAAAGCTGTAAAAATTCCCAAAACCCCATAAAAATGTGCAGAAATATTTCATGTCCCCTCTGTCACTGCCATTCTTTTGCAAAGAGATAAGAAACCCGGATGATTCCTCTGATTTTGAGGAGCCATATAGCATGATTGATTTGCTAACAATTTGAGGTAACTTTTCAAAAAAATTCATTTGTTTTCATACCTCAGCATTTTCTCAAAAAACTTTATACCCCCCCCCCCAACTTATACTCAGAAAATTTCATACTATTGTAAGTTTGCTTCTACCCCATCAACGGCTGGACTTAATGACAGCTCCTTAGTAAAAGACATGGAAAGGTAGTTTCTTGCTCAAAATAACCACCGGTTCTCTGTCAATTAGCCTGCGTCGCAGACCATCACCTTCTTGGCCTGTGACACAAGCAAATGTCAATCGAAAAATTCAAGATGACAGATTTGAAAGTTTTTGAAATCTTAAAAAATTCTCAAAAAGCTCAAAAATTTTCAAAACCTCAAAAAATCTTCAAAATCTTGAAAAAGCCTTACACTTTTTTGAAATGGCTTGCCCCTCGGTTGGAGGAGTCGTTTTTCGAAATCCGCGCGCTTGGATATGGGCATTTCGGCTATAAGACCGCAAGATTTGTTAGCTCCCAATAAAGTATTGGATAACTCAATATTAATTAATTTGCAAGCTACCGTTTTCCCATACGAAACAACCTTTTGCAGCTTTCTAAATTTCCATGTTCTCAGAATTCGGGAACACGATCAACTTGCATCAGTTAACTCGTTTCCTTTCTTGGACACACCCCAGTGAGCGAATTTCACCTTGGTAACCACAGAGTCTTTGTAATCTGTTGAACTTTGCAGCACCCCCCGTCTATAATGGAAGTATGATCATTACAGATGCATCAGTGATCTGATTGGCTAAACGTCATCTGAAAATGGGAAGTAAAATTGTCGAGAGGTTTCAGAGACCGCTAGAGATATTTCAGTAGCAGAAAATCGTTCTGTATAAAAGAGGCCCGCGTTTGAGGATGGGGCATTCGAAGCGAAGCATCGAAAGATCACAGCAAGCAAAATTAGAAGAGACTCAAGCATCGCAGGCAGAGAATATCATACCAAGTGTAGTACTGAACAAGTTAGAAGAAACTCAAACATCGAATTTATCTGAATATGGCTTTTACGAAAATGGTACAGAATTTTACATACACTTTTTTTATGATTTTCAATTCAGTCTCTTTTCATTTTTTTTCTCATTTTTCTTTTAGGTTGACATGATGTTTTCTTGCCTAAATTTTTTCCATTCTAAGATTTGAATTAAAAATAGACTCGGTAGAGTGTGATTCTTTATTTTAATCATTTGCAAGAATGAATTTACTTTATATGAAAGCTCAACCGAGTGCCGATCACGTGCCTAAAAAGTTGATGAAAACCACACAAGAACGAATCACGGCTAAATGTTTTTAACAAGTAACTTGAATTCAACTTTTAATTTATTGAGCTTTCAATAATTGCAAATGATAATAAGTTTTGTGTTTCTTTGCAGGACGGAGTTTTATTGGTCATCCAGACCCTTATCGTGTTCGCAGCCTCGTTTCCAATGAAGATACCTGAGCTGAATCCGAAATTTGAAATCGGGGAGAAGTTCTTTGTATCTGGCGTAGAGGACCTTGTGAAGCTAGGCAATGGAACTGTCCCCGAGGCTCTCCTGACAGACTTGACACCCCCAGAATATTATAAATCAACAGGAGTAAATGAACACGATGCCCTTTCGCACTTGTACAAAACATCCACATCTGCAAATGGGAGGCAGAGACGAAGCGTGTCGTCATCATGCCCAATCACGTGGACTGTAAATTTTGAGGCGAATCGCTGGCCTAGCAGGATCCAAAGAGGGATTTGTAATGGGCAGGGCACCACCTGTTTGTCATCAGACGGCAAAAGGGCATGCGAAGAATACTACAGCGAAGTTCAAGTTTATCGCTATCTTGGGCAAACAAGCAGCGGACAGCAAGTATGGCGTGTTGAGACCCAGAAAATCCCCGTCCTTTGCTCCTGCTCAGCATTTTAAATCATAGACAGATAATTTTCTGTAGAAGCCCTGCGGAGCAGAGCTGGAAATAAATTGGGTTGTCGACCAGCCCCCTTCCACGGACACACAGCGCCGAGGCCGAAGTCGAGGCCAATGGGAATTTTATAAGGAATCTGGTATTCCATCGAACTTTAAATTATTTATTATAACGAATTTCAGCTTTTGTAAATTATATATTTATTCGAAGCGACTTTTATATGTATCAATGACAATACTGAAAATATTTGCGTGTAGATAGTTTTTTGAAATGAAATTTCAAATTATATGATAGATTTGATGGAAAAATGGTTAATAGATATTCAAATATCGACAACAAATTAAAGTGGATCTTGTGTATTTTATAATAGAAATTCTAATGTGGAATAAAATTCAATGAAATTCACTTTTCTTCTGTTTTTTTGTACTGATGTCACGTGCAAAGTCAGGCAAAGTCCACCTTTTCAATTTTCGTTCATGCAATGATACGAAATGAAATTTATTTTTGACTGCATTTGGTTAGGTTTTAAGCAAAAGCTCCTTGCCTCGAAGAGATTACGGTAACTTCAAGATGCAGTACAAGTGCACATTTTCCATCAAAGCAGGGTTTTCAAAGTATTCCTTGACTTAAAATAATCGGTATATACTTCTGTGTACATAAATGAATGTTTTCATAAAAAACAACATTTTTTGCAACGAAAAAAAAAATCATTTGAAAAAAGCGATGTTTGACTTTCTCACAGCCTATTTTCATCTGAGCTTGAAAACTAATTATGACTTTTGATTGAAAAATATTTTTAACTTTGAATCGACCCTTTTTCACAAAGTGTGCCAATTTTTTCTAACCCTGTGACCAGGGACTGCGAAAGAAGGGGGCTAGTTGCTACATGTGCTGATAATTTATGCTAGATTATGTTGCTTGCATTTTGTCATACTGTGAACTTTGAAACCCCCCCCCCTTCATTCTGTAATTTTGTCCGTGAATTTTGTCAGTGCCTTTTCCTGTAAGTTCAAAACTCAAGGTCGACCGGATAACAGCAATTTCCTTTTTGGTTGAAATTTCTTCTATTATCTCTTTATTTCTATATTTTTCTCTATTTTTGAATTGTCGCCTTTTGAAAATACTAAAGCAATAGCTACCTCTTTGCCTTGGCTGTTTGTGGTTTTGGAGACCTTACGCGTCAAAGGTTCCATTTTTGTGTGACAGACACACCTAAATCAATCATTAGAGAAATGTATGCAACCGCCGAAGAAAACGTCCAGTCGTAACAGTAAGAAAGCTAGAATATTTTGATGTGGATAACTTTGAATCTAGTTCCAGCGGTGTAATAAGCACGACTGCATTGTGCCTGTGGAGAGCAAGGGAGGGGCATTTTTTGAAGGGGTCTGACTAGAGTGTTTGGTCCCAGATGTAGTTCTAAAAGGCGAGTTAAGTTTTTTTAATATTCTTGCTGCCTCCTCTTACCATGACATCTCACCAAGCATTTGAGTATTTAAGATGAGGATCCACCCAACCGTTTGTTTTATTCACGCCATTATTGATCTGCAAAGACTCTTCATGACGGTGCAAGAGTTGGCTGTAAAGACAGTTTCATTTGGAATTTTGTTTGCTGAAAGGGAACTTTTGTTCCTCACAGAACCTGCATAACATTGCAAGTTCTCAAAAAGAATAAATGTTGGCCAGTAGACTTGTGTTTCTTTTGGAAACTGGCATGGCTGAGCCCTGGTCTAGTAGCAAAGCAAAATCATGTAGCTTGACTTTCAGGATTTTCTCGGTGGGTTCATTTGAGTTGATATCAAATTACTTTTCATGAAGAAATTTTGCCTGACAGTTGCTTGATGATCGAATTAAGTGCGAAACTCGAAGTTGCAACTCACAAATAAGTGCCCAATCCCCTCCTTCCACCAAATTGTTTGCTCGGCTAATGTCAGAATGCTTATCATTTATCGCACTTTCCTATGTACTGCAAAAGACATTTGGCCGTGTCTTCCAACTTATTTTCTGATTGCCTATAATCAATTAGATTCTCATCTTATTCAAATAACTGAAGTCCCACTTTTTTTTTCCACTAAAGTTGAAGCGACCTTTGCGCAGATCCGAATAAACCGAATAAGATTTCTTTAAATAAAGAATCATATATAAATCGTCTTTAAATATATTTAAAGAAAATTTCTCGTTGTATCAAAGTTAACTGAAATTTATCTATACAGTACAAGCTGGGATAAAAACATAAATATTTTCAAAAATACATTCATATATCTATATATTTTAGCTCTTCTCTTTTAAAGATAGGTTTCTATTAATAGATTACGTATTTATTTCAAAAGGCGATTCCATTATATCCCATTTGAATTCTGATACACTGTCATTGTGCTATGCAGTACAAGTACAAGCGACTGGGATCGTCATTCTCTCTCGCCTGTAGACTAATTTACCATTCCCATCGTTTCCAAGAAATCTGTACACGTGGTTTGTGATCTTGATTTCTTCGCATGCAAAATTGTCGTCACGTGACTTACACACAGTGCCCTGTCCGTTACACGAGGCAAACATGATTTGAGCTGGCTTTCTGCCCTTCTCAAAGTTTACATTCCACGTCACAGGGCAGGAGGCTTTGCTCAACATAACTGGCTCTAGATAACTGCGTCTCATTCGCTGCGCTAAAATCAATGAGAGAACAAAGCATAAGGCGTATGGCTGCCGTGTGAGACCTGGACACGAGGCAAAAGTTGGATTTTTTTATTCATTTATCGATTGGATTAGTTTGCTTTGTACAAGTGAAATTTTTTATTGTAAGCTAGATATAATTATTTGATATAAAATAAGTAAACACGGACACAGTGAGGTAGAATGTCGTGACTGAAATCTCTGAATGTTAGCAACAGGTGCATGCATTACGTCGATGCAAGCGTACAATATTCAACGTGAACTTAGGATTTGACATTAAGCACAAGTTTCGAAAGAATAAAATTGTGAACGTTGAAAAAAGCGCGCGTTTAGAATTGAGAAATTGACTGCAAGCTTACTCTATAGAATGGGAACAAGTGGCAGTGGCAAACTCTCTCTACTTACCCGTCCTGTTGTTTCTGAACAGAAATGAAATGATGTCCAATCCAGATACATTGAGACCTCTCAAACGCAAATATTCATATGGGCTAACTTTTGATCTCAATATCTCTGGAAAAGTGCTGTTTATTTCCTGGTCAACCTCTGATGCTGTTCCGTATTTCAGTATTTTTGCAACCTTGTTTGCTGAATCCTGCATTGGGAGTGCTCCGTTCCTTTCGGTTAATATGGACAGGAATCCACAGACCACCTGGAAGAAGGATATCGGTTGTTCATGCTATACCCTTTAAACTGCTGATGTTCTAAGCCCCAGACTCAAAAGAAGAAGCTACTTGATATAACAGCATTTAAAAAGGTTCCTTCGTGAGAAAGCTTGCCCGAAGACATTATTTCGTTTATGGCACTAAATCAATGGGATTTTTACTGTTAAAATACATTTTGATTTTTTCCCAACTTTGACTTCAATTTTTCTTGGCAAACTCTTTCGCATTAAAATCGAAAATCCAGCCATAAAAATATATAGAATATTCAACAGAGATTAAGTTGTTCATCAAACTTTGCTCGGATAGCAAGAAGATGGCGTGTTTCTTGAAAGATAATAAGAATTGTAAAAATCATCAAATTGAAGTAAAAAGGTTCAAGTTGATTTGCCAACTTACCACAGTTCTATAAATAACTTGACGTGTACAGTCCATAATTAAAGTGTGTGTTGAATATCTCTTCTCTCAGGTACCTTGCAGATAGAGTTTGAAAGTTTCTGCCTACTTTGCCTTCAAATTGCATTTTTATATATTCTTTAAAGGCATTTGCTGTAGCGCACGTCATAGTTACAGGCATTTCTGCTACCCCAGATGCCACATCCCCTTCTTCGACATCTAGTTTCGCGCGGCCGCTTTTCTGTGTGACGGGCATTTTTTTCTGAAATTCTGGTTGCTGAAATGACAACAATGTTAGCAAACGGGTGCCCGCAGGTCTGCTAAGCGTTAGTTCCAAACCCCCGCTCTTCCAATTTCGCTTTCATCTTCTGTTACACTTGACATAATTCTTGTTTGCCATTTTCATGTAATGACAAGCACGGGCGTGGTGATGCTTCTTGGAAAACTAAATTCTGCCTTTCTCGTAGATGTATGTACATCTCTGGCGTGCCAGGAACTGGCAAGACGGCAACCGTGCATGAAGTGGTCGCAGAACTGGCAGATGAAGCCCGCACTGGCGCAGTACCAAACTTTCAGTATATTGAGTTGAATGGGATGAAGCTGACCGAGCCAAACCAGGCCTACGCGGCGTTTCTCAAGGTACGTCCGCACGTAGTCATTCCGCCTGTAGTCCTTGCGCCAGTAGTCCTTCCGCCAGTAGTCCTTCCGCCAGTAGTCCTTCTGCCAGTAGTCCTTCCGCCAGTAGTCCTTCCGCCAGTAGTCCTTTCATCAGCCATCCATTAGTATTACTTAATCACAATTTGCAAAGGCATGTTCTGCAATTAGTCTCAGAAATGCCCAGTTCTGACTTGCTTCGGTAACTGTGAAATCTGTACCCACGCGTGTGGAAGATTTGTCACGACCCGCTTTATTCCTGGAATTCAACAAGCATAATTAACATAAATTATCCAAAGAAATACTGCTCGTTGGTTAGGTGCTAAAAGAACCCAAAGTTTTTGGGTCATAAATCCGTTTAATATTTTATTAAACCGTCCTTTCTTAACGCCCCCTATATTTTTGCAGCGATTTTAACGGCCCCTTTATTGTTTGATCCCCCACCACTGACTGTTTCAGGGTTTTAAGGGGGTCGTTGAAAAGGGGGACACGTTCCCCCCAGTTTTCGGCAGGGTCAAATTTTAATTTCGGCAAACTGTCTTTACGTAACCAAACGTTTGCCGTGGGCTTTCCTTTTAGGTAAAACTGGCGTTCCATGTTGGTAAAAGGGCGTTTTCTGGAGTGATAAAGGGCGTCGCCTAACAATTTTTGCTTTGTCCCCCCAGAGCTTAGTGGCTGGCGCCACCATTTCTTTGTTGAACATTTTTTAGAGTTTTCGTGAACGTTTTCAGATCACCCCGTTTTTTAGAGCTTTTCAGCAAAATTTTACATTTGCTGGGTGCAAGCAACTGCTTTCTCAATCCAAACTTCTCATTGTTTCAATGTCATTCGATGGTTGCAAAAGAGCTGTATTTTTACTCATATTGTGTAATTCAGTGTGTGAATCACACAAAGGCACTTGTCTCGTATTACCATTGTCCTTCTTTTAGTCCCAACTCACTTCTCGTATTACCATTGTCCTTCTTGTAATCCCAACTCACAACCACATTTGATCCCAGGGCTTCAACGCATGCATGTACGTGAATCACAACACAATGACGACCGTCTATTCTTGATTACGCAGCAAGGGAACGGATCTGCATGTGTCTATTCGGAGTCTACTTCCGCAACAACCAGGCTCTTTTCTCATATAATATAATAAGATACAATATTATATATGATAATGCTCAAAATAGGAAGAAGAGAAAACAGCTGTCTTAATACCAATGTTACCTAGTTGCCTAGAGGTGGGGCTCTCCCCCAGGACAGGAGGGAGACTTAAACAAGGATCTAGCCCTTGAGCCCCCTAGCAGTCCGTCTTAATATTGAAGCCGCAATATTTTCTGTCAATAGTTTTGTCACTAATTTTTTAAACTGCAAAGTCAGCCCTGTTGCCTAGCTTTTTGGACCCATTAATATTTTTCCAGCCATGTTCCCCCCTTTTTATAATTCATTGGTTTAATTTTATTGCCCATTAAAACCTAACTAAGAATCGGTTCAATTAAAGTTTGGACACTGTAATGTCGATGTGACTGAAACAATGCCTGAATCGAACCAATAGCTTGCGTTTCAAATTTTTTTTGGTTTGAGAACTGTCTTTTTAGGATACCAGTCGGATTCAGATAAGAAATTTGCAGCAGATCTATCCACCTCTGATTTCTATATCTCCGATTTCTACAACTGCCACCAAATAAATCCCGATCGGTGTGCATTTTTGAGTCAATTCTAGGCCCTGCCTTCGACCAATTACTACAAAATTTTTCCTTGTTGAGTCTTGTGTTATATTAGACATCCTAAGCTAATACAAAAATATCATCTTAAAGATCTAAAATTTGTTTTTTTATTATACGGCCGCGATTCGCCGTATTTTTTTCCATCAAAGTGAAATGATTGGCTGGGTCTGTTTCCTTCATCCAGCCTCAAAGACGATCGCGAATTGCCCCTACTCATTACGAGCATGGACGAGCATGGACATTCAAGATTTGCTTGGATTCATGAAACCTATAATGCCCATATACTGTAACAGCTTTATTAAGCCCCCTCTCTAATGGTTTCAGTTCGAGTTTCAGCTGATAAAGAAAGATGATCCGTTTCCTGAGGCGCGCCTTCAACTTTCATTATTTCCGCAATACTGTTGCTACTTGCAGTGGCGCTTTGACTGCATCAGCAAGCATTGTGGCATTCAGCAAGCATTGTGGCATTCAGCAAGTGTCAGCATGGAAAAGTAAAGACCCTCGGTGCAGTCGGCATAAACTCTATCATACCCACGTGTGCAATTGCTTTCCAGGCAATCCAAAATTGTTTTAGATTGCCCGGTTGCAGCTGAGAAAAAATTGAACATAACGACCGCCAATTCTTTAAGTGATACTTTTTACCAGGGCCTTTTTGAAGCAATAAGCAGGAGAGAGGAAAATAACCTTACTTCTAAATGTTCCTTCCTTCCTTTTCTTTGGCAACATTTAAAAAAGATATTAAGAGCACACCCTATAGAATGCGACTGTAGATTTGTGTAAAAATTTATTGCTGGTTATGGTTTTATTAGAACATTATACCTATAAAACCTTTTTTAATATTGTATCTATTATTTTATTTCATACTAACTCTTTATAGATAGTTGGCCTATAATTAGCTTCTTTATAGCTATCAGCCGTTCATTTAGTAACGTCCAACTTTAAACAAATTATTTATTATTATTATTATGTCGAGATCAATCGCATGGAGGTAGACGGCGTGATGGAATCTTCTTTGCGCATGACCAGCAGACATTGTTGACTCGTATTTTCTTAGTCTAGAGATTAGCCTGACGATGAGGTGAGCAACATGCCGTGGAGATGACGTACCTCACGCGGCGGGACAGTCACGGAGATGAGGAGTCTATTGTCACTCTGCACCTACTATCTCTGTTAACAGGCAAAGATGAGTAGACGCTGCTGGTTGCTGCAGGACACAGCGAGTAGAGCCCAGTGTGAAGTGCATAGTGGCACTCTGTGTTAGAGCCAGAGTTCTTCTGGCTGGTCAGAAGAGGCTGCGGAGTCACACAATTGGAGTGAGTGGAATAGCAAATGATAGAGACAGGTGGGCGGAGTAGCATATCGAGAGAGCAGAGATGTAGAGTCATTAATTGGTGCCCATGTGCGACTATGACGAGGCCAGCGCGCGCGAGTTGTGCCGAACACTCGAGCCTGTGGTATCCGACCTGGAAGGTATAGAGATAAGTTTGAATTTTGATTTCAAAGATTCGAATTCCAAGGAAAGAGGCACTGTTTTAAAGTGTCTTGAATAATAATACTACTCCAAAAGTGCACACAATGTTAAGATAAGAAGAGAAAGTAGAGAACATCAATTGAAGAGAAGGATGTCAATACCGCAATCAGGTGAATCAAGACGTTTCACCTGAATATAATAATAATAATAATAATAATCAATTTATTTAAAGTTGGCGCTACATAGCTATTTACAAAGAAATGAGCTAATCCAAGCCAACTGTTAAAACTACTACATCAACTAAATACATACGAGATTAAATACATAAAATTTTAAATACAAAATGATCCATTAAAAAACTATAAAAACCTGAGCTATTTAAAAGATAGAATTACAAAAAACCAAGCTGTGGCACGAACGTCCTACATAGTTTGCATGTACAGTCTGTGCCATTCCAGCTTTTAATTTCTTTCTTAAACTCATTAATACTCTTACGGCCTCGTTTTTTACTCTTACGGCCTCGTTTTGGCCTCATTAATACTCTTACGGCCTCGTAATAGACCAATTCGACTTACGGCCTCGTTTTGAAAAATGAGTAGACCTTTTGTGCAAATTTTTTTATTTCAGATTCGGATTAAGAGCAATGATTTTAGTCTACTTGGAAGTTTTCGTGATGGTATTGCTCACGATATTGATTTTATGACGACATAAAGATAAAAATTTTTATAAGAGATTTGACCGTGATTGGCGACTAGGGGGATAAAGTTTCACCCCGAATGATTGTTCCGGTCAAATCCCTTGCAAGTTTTCAAACTTAATTTCTCCATAAAATCTAAATTACAAGCACAAACAAAATGAAAAATAGTATCCAGCCTAAATCTTTTGTGATAAAACCAAATCTGAGCTTAAAAAAGTCGTATAATTAAATGTGGAGAAATTTCCAAAACGTTTTCTCTTTCACTGATGGGCAGCAACCACCTTTCCCACACCAATTTTTCATTACTTTCATTTTTACTGTAAATCAATGGCTTGCTTTGAATATTTCAGTTATTCCTTTGATGGCAAAAATGTGCATGCCAATGGGGAGAGATACACTGCTATCCAAACAGTGCTAAAATCTTGCTCACCAATAGATATTCTTTCGATAAGCACATGAGATTTGCTTTCCTGCCTTGGTGTGACCGATATTGTGTCTCTTTGCTCGCTTTTTCGCTATAATTGTTAACAAGAAGTTCTCAAGCTGCTTCTTTAAATACAAAGACCCTTGTACCCATACCTTAATATGTTTTGAGGTACAGGGACGTGCCATTATTTAGGGGTACCTTTTTATGAAATGTGCAGAATTATCGGTACCGTTTATGAAATATGTGCGGAATTATGGGTACCATTTGAAGAAACGTAAAGAATTATGGGTACCATTGGCCCAAAATTATTGGGGGAAAATTTAGCACCAAGGAAAGAATGTTCAGTCAGATATTAAAGTATGAAGCATGTATGATATTGAGATTTTTGGGAAATGGGCATACAAACTTTGTTTAATGATTTTGTTTCGCTTTAAGAATGTTATCCGCCTTGCGGAACTATGGGTATAGTTTTCATCAGCTTTTCTGAATTATGCGTCTCTTAAAGCCCCTGCTCGCTTGGAACAAATTTATATATTATAGAGGACCCAACCTAAAAAATAAGCTCAAAACCGCATGAATTGGGTTCAAATTTCTTAGGTTTTTCATTATTTCGAAGCATTAGTTTAAATGGGCATGGGGATAAAATTTAAGCATTTGAATAATCTCCAAGATGAGGCCACAGAATAGGAATCAGGCTTTGATTGGGCTTGTTTTATTTATAATCATGATACCTCCACGTTTGAAGGGTAAAATTCTTTTCAATGTATTAGACTTTATCGGCTAAAACGGTTTTAAATTTGAAGCATGGTATGATTAAATTGGTTTTCTATTCGTCTCTTAGGCGCTCAAAGGACAGAAAACTAGTCCAGAACACGCTGCTAGTGTATTGGACAAGCTGTTCAGCGGAAAAGGCGAAAACAGGGACCATGTTGTATTGCTAGTTGACGAGGTAAGCACCGAGTAAGCACTCGCACAATTTTTACTTGTATATGCGTTAATGGGTGGCGGAGGCTTAATTGCAAAATGTATGGCAGTCACAAAATGCCTTGCAGCCTTATCAGGAGGTTGGTTGAGAATAATGTAGTCTATTTTTTTAGGAATGCACAAAGCTGTTTGAACCAGGGTTGAACTCGCCGTCAACAAAAACAGTTGAATTTATACTCTCATCGGTTTGTAAAGCAATAGTTCATGCCCTCGTGCGAAACTGTTAACAGTGGGGGTTGGGAACTAGTTTTAGAATAACAGACTCGTGTGTTAATTTCCATTGTTCATTGCAATGTCTTTTAACTTCATTTGTACCACACAACAACTACAGTCATGTTTTCCTATTTTTCATTTCTTGATTTTACCGAATGCTGCAATTTTGTTTTCTCATGCCATATTTTGCTTGACATTTTTGTAGCGCGATCGATTAACTGATAAGGCCTCCTTTTTTGCTAAAACGATAAAAAGTTATGATAAATACAATTATTTCTCCTAACTTTTTGTCTGGGGCTGGGCACGTTCTTTCGTTGTTCTGATGTTTTGGCGAATCCAGTCTCGGTGTTTTCATGAAGTGCGTGTTTTTGCAGAAAAGAGGTAATTTTTCAGTCACCCAACATTGTTTTGTTTCAAGAAACTCAAACTCAAACTCAAAATCTTTATCAGCAAAAACAAATGTTAATTAAAATATACCAAGAATTAAAAATTAGAATACAAAACTTAGCATTTTCAAAAATTTAATTAATTAATTACATCAGATAAATTGGTTTTGTTATGCTGAAGGACACATGAGAAAAACTCGCCAGGAGCTATCGAGTCATATGTCCTAGTGACGCATTTAAACTCAAGATTATAATTTCCATTTCAGTTTGAAGTAGTGTATAACAGTAAGAGTAAACAATTAAGGATGTAAGAGTATAGAGAAAAAAATATATACATATATAAAGGCGATAGGCTGGTAAATTTCACTGGTTGGGGATATGTTTAAAAAAAGTAGAACGAATTCTTATGGCTTAGGAGTTCTGTAAAAGGTATAGTTTCATCATTTTTTTAAAGGCATTTTAATTTTATTGCGGATATTCTTTAGTTCAATTGGCAAGGACTTCCAATGCTTAACCCCATCAAATGTCAGAAAGTTTTTTTGAAGTTTGTAGAGATAGAGGGAAGAGAAAAACCAAGATTGGATGATTGTCTCGTATTATAGCAATGTAATTTACTAGTTTTGATGAATTCCTTTTGAAGAAAGTTACTATGATTTTCTTGGTTGATTTGAAACATAAATTTCGCTGTTTCGAGTTTGTATAGATTTTCTAGGTTCAATAACTTTGAACGTTTAAAGATTGGTTCTGTGTGAGCTGTCTAAGAAGCAAATTCTATTACTCTGACAGCTTTACGTAGGGTTATTTTCAATGGTTCAAGAGTAGTCTTATTAGCACAACCCCAGTTAAGAAGTCCATAAAGAACATGAGATTGAATAAGAGAGTTGTATAGTGTTACAAGGGTGCTTTTTGGTACAAGATGTCCTAATTTATAAAGGATACCAATACTTTTAGATATTTTGGTATTTAATTGGTTTATGTGGTGTTTCCAGTTAAGTTTGTCATCAATTAATACACCAAGGTATTTTGAGGAGGTTTCTTGTTTTAGATTTTCGTCATTTATTTTTAGATTCACAATTCTATTATTTTTATGAGGTCTCACTATGAGAAAATTTGATTTAGCTACATTGAGTGATAACTTATTAGCTACAAGCCATTCAGAAACATTTTTCATTTCATAATTGACTGTTTGTTCAATTGTATCTAGGCTTTTATCAGCAAATAAAATACTTGTGTCATCAGCAAAGAGACGAGTATCAAGGACTTCGGAGGAGTAATAAATATCATTAATGTAAAGCAAGAAGAGGAGGGGGCCTAATATGCTTCATTGAGGGACACCACAATTAATTTTCAATTATGTAGAGTTCTCGCCATTCACAGTAACAATTTAAGTTCTATTTTCTAAGTACGATTTAAACCAGCTGTGACCTACTCCCCTAATTCCATAGTGCTCTAACTTACTTAGTAGTATACTATGGTTGACTGTATCAAATGAAAGAAAGAGGGATAGCTGGTCTCTACCTGTGAATGAACGTGAGTGATTCAATAATTGTGATTATTGCTTGATTGTAACTGGGTCCGCATCTCAGTCTGTTTTCGTCTTGATTCTTGCAGCTGGATTTGCTGTGGACAAGAAAGCAGAATGTCATGTACAACTTGTTCGAGTGGCCTACACGGAAACACGCCAAATTGATTGTGCTAGCGGTCGCTAACACGATGGACTTACCAGAGCGTGTTATGATGAACCGAATCTCTAGCAGGCTTGTACGTTCACCGTTGTTTGCTTACTATGATTGTATGCTTTTGATCAGGTACTTTTTATCGTGTACCTTTGGTCCTGTACTTTTGATGCTGTCATTTCATTCGCGTGCTTTTCATCGTGTACTTTTTTGTTTCTGCACTTTTGGTAATACACTTCCCACCATGCACCGTGAGTTTTCGCTTTCTTTACATGAATGTTCCATCCTTTCTATATCCCCTACGTGAAAAACGTTTTCATGGTTCACTGGAAATTCACTGTTTGTGAAATGATGGAAGCAAAATAAACAACAGAATGGTGACTAGCAAATTTCCAAAAGGCCCCTGATCTGGTATTGGCACGAAATTATGACAAGAAACCAATAGAACAATAGGTCTTTTACCTATAAAGAATGCAATTTTGTACACAATGTTACCTTATTCTAAACTTTCTCGTAATGCAGACCAATCACAGTTTTTCTTTCTGTCAATTGATTGTTACAAGAATCGATTGGCCAAGAAACTGAATTATTTTGATGCTTCTATCGCTCAGGGCCTAACTCGAATGACTTTTCAACCATACACGTTCAGGCAACTACAAGAAATTGTTTATTCTCGAATCAAAGGAATCGATGCATTTGAAGAAGATGCCATGGAACTCATTGCAAGGAAGGTAATGTCTCTATGGCCAAAATAACGTCCAACCTTCAGCTCATTGGATAATTCAGCACTGCTATGTTAGCAAATGTTAGCTAAAGAACGTTCGTGGTACATTATTGTCATGCAATTGGAATGCATAAGTAATTGTTTATAGAACTGAAATACGCTGGGCTCACTGAAATAGGTTTCTGCTTTTTCTTGATATGCTGAGATTTTACACTAGTTTAAGGTCCGAAGTTGCCTCGTTATTTACCCAATGATATTCAAAAGTTACCTTATCACTAGAATGAAAAATAACCCAAGAAAGTTGAGAGGTTACTCTTATCCGACGTTGCTGCTCCTACTATCAGCGGTATTTCCTGTGAATATATGCGCTGCCAGCAACTTATCATCTTTTTGAATACAGAGTTCATTACATACGCTTTGCCCCTTTGTCACTTCGCAAAAATACAATGTATAACAAGAGGATCATTGAAGTTTGAAAAATCAAGACATGAAATACAATGCAAGTTACAAATTTTGGCTTGCCATCTCAAAATTCAAGCTTTCCTTAATTCTAGGTGGCTGCAATTTCTGGTGACGCCAGGAGATGCCTAGACATATGCCGCAGAGCAGTGGAAATTGCGGAATCGCATGTCTCTGGGGGCAGCCCGAGGAAAGCCAACAGAGGCATTGTGGGAATGAGGCACGTAAATGAGGCTTTACAGGAAATGTTTTCGTCTCCGAAGATAATTGCTCTGAGGTGAGTGGAACTGATCGACGTTCTAACTGATAAAAGGCATAGATTAGCTGAGATTTGCTCAATCTCTCACACCAATCGGAAGGTATGTATGTGCATTCGAGAAAAATTCTGCAGTACACCTGCCTTTTTGTTGCTTTGATCAACATAATAGATAGTTACCCAATACAATGGTAATGTTAGATGCAAAAGCTGTATCGGACGAGAGATCTACTGGTGCAAATGACTGTCATTAATGCTCTCTATTTTCTTTGTATCTTCTTTTAATACGCTGAACAAGTATGTCTTATTAAGGGGCTATTTTTTTAAGCTCATATGCACTTTTTAGCGGAGCAATGGTAGCGTTAATACACTGTAGCACACTTCTAGAATTCAAAATGAGAATACACCTGCAAATTTTGTTAAGTTGTTTTTTAGATTTATATTGCTCATCCATAGACACAGAAACAAAAACAGTTTTCGTGTAGTAGACTTTTGTTTTTCCAACAACCAATTAATTTTCCCCACAAATTTTCTCCTTAGGAGTCTGTCCTTATTTCAAGGCTTCTTTATGAAATCGGTTGTCGCTGAGTTTCGACGTTCCGGGCTGGAGGAAGCGTTCTTCAAAGATGTACGTACGAAAGAGTTTTTCCTTGTGATTTACAGAACGCTTTAAGAGACCCATGAGGCATTTACAGATGCTCCTAATGAGAACCTTTATCTTGAATCACTTCAGCTATTGCCTACTTATTGTGATGGACCATAGTCCTACGTTATGAAATTAACCTTATACACGAAATATCATAAAAAACGTACAACAATAACACAGCCTCTTTTAAATATGTAGCAAACACAGCCTTTTCTTCATTCACACACTATTTTAAATAGCCTGTTATAGTTTGGAATCCATGCTACGTTCGGAAACCTTCTGCGATTGGAAAATGCAAGCAAAAGACATCGCAAAAACATTCAGCAATTTGCAATCGAGACTTTTAAAACGCTAATGAATAAACCCTTGGTTTTTGATACGTTTTTCAGATTTTCTCAAACTTCGTAACCTAAGGACCGACTCGTTTATAACAAAAAACCTAAATATAGTTATATGACCAAGATACAATTTCACGCACCTTCAAGTTATGCCCCTCTTTTAAGATTTCCTGGAAGGGGTGCAATGCTGTGCCAGTGCCGTCAATCACACGATTGGGATGACTAGAAGGGAAACGCAACTCACAATTTTGATCATTGTTTTGTCGATCGAAACAGATCGTTAAATTTGATCGTGCTTTCATATTCGCAGTCAACCAACGGAGATTGATTGTGCCAACTCTTCGTAATTTGTTTTTAGTGTATTTATACTTAATTTTATAGGTTTATGATCAGTTTCAAGAACTTTGCAGAATCGAAGGTATGTCCCTTATTTTTAAATTCATTCTCGATTGTTGCTTAGAATGTAGTACCAGGCCATATCTTATTTAAGATCATTGCTTATGATCATAGCTTATTTTAGCCATGAATAATAGAAAAATTAAGGGTGTGAGCGTGGTCACATTTATAGCGATATTAAAGGGCGTTGCACTGCAATTATTTCTGGGTCTACACCCGTTACTTTGGCTGGGCTCTGCCCCAGAACCCCGTCTTGCTGTCATCCTCAGCTCACTAGGTTCACAGCCAAAAATGTCGCTTGTGCGGTGCTGTGCATTTCAAACTGGGTATCAGGTGCGATGAGAACCCGGAGGCAAGGCCCCCATTTTTATGGAAGAAGAACGATTTTGTGCATTTTCTTTTCTTTTCTTTTCTATTTAGGCTGATTTGAACTTGCTCCCCTCCCCTTTTTTTAAACTTGCACCGGAGTCTTTTTTGATTGGTTTATTTTAACCACTGAATACTTGATTCAGCTCGCCTTTATCTTAAGTTCATCCTCCCCAGCCTAAGCGACATCTCCAAAGTCATTCATTTCAAATAACAACAAGTACAAGTTTAAGTTTGAATACATATACGTGAAGAGATTACATTACAAATTCTAAATCTTAACCAATGACAATAATTGCTAATACGAAAACAGTAATTCAATTACTTCATATATTAATTTTTACTTGTTATTTAGGACACTTGAATACTCCAAGAAGGGCTATCGGTAACATAAAAGAAAGCATAAAATGAACAAACGAATAACTTGCAATTATAATGTGTGAATAAGGGAGGGGGAAAAAGTGGTAAAACAAAGAAAAAGTCTATGCTGCTGCTTCACTAAGATGTTATAACAATTTGCATTAATTATGATGATTTCTTTAGTTGGTTTTGGTGAGGCCGAATTTCATTAAAGGGCATACTGGAAAAACCAGACCCTATGCCCCTAGGACCCCTATGACCATTAACTACAAAGAACAAAAAAGGACCCTTAACTACTACATGATTTGCAGCTCCCCCAAAGCCATGCCTTTTAACTCATGACGCACACACCAATCCTAACGGACTAATAACAAAAAACACACCGTCGACGCAAGCATCGAAAATCACTTCAAGTAACTGACCAGACAAGAGAAGCAAAAACATTTCATCTAGCCTTCAAAAAAGTACTCTGCATGAGATTAAGGAGTTTATCAGACCAGGGTTTAGGGGGCCTTGAGAGGGAAGGGAGAATGAAATAAATGGACAATGTTGGCAGGGCAGGGTGCAGCTGCAGAGCACTAGAATTCAGGACAAAAAAGTAGTCAGAATATTAAAAGGCGTTTACACAACCCCAAATCAAAATGTTTAGTTTTGGGGAAAATCACAATATAATTCATGGGGTCCGACAAAGGTTGAAAAGTGGGGGGGGGCCAAGGGAAAATTTAACACCCATAACAAAAGATTTCGAATAAAACTCTATTGTTTTGCAAAAAAGTGGGGGGCCAAGGCCCCCCGGACCCCCCTTCGTCGGAGGCCCTGTAATTTCGCAGTCTGGTGGAAATCCAAAGGGACTTTTGAAACAAACTCGTAGCGAATTCGGTGCGAAATTCACCTCCTGGAAATCATAAAAGGACAGGAGACAGACGATTGTTAAATGACAATGTTAAATGTTTGAGCCAAAGTCGGAATGCTTCCAAAGCTGTCAACATGATAGCATTAAAAAGCATGGCTCTGGTAGCCTGTGCTCCAGACCCCTAACGTGAAAGTAGAGGGGGTCTGGAACACAGGCTAGGCTCTGGGGGAGCCGCAAATCATGTAGCAGTTAAGGGTCCTTTTTGGTTCTTCGTGGTTAATGGTCCTAGGGGTCATAGGGGTCCTAGGGTCATAGGGTCTGGTTTTTCCAGTATGCCTGTTCACTTGACGTGTAGATTTGATTGGTTTGAAGCATTTTCATGCTGCTTTTCTAACATGCAGCATCATAAAACATTTCTTTTCATCCTGCCTCACACTCAGGGTTGCCACTCGTAGGGATTTCTACCTACGGTAGGGATTTTTTGCCTTTTGTAGGTTGTAGGGATAAACCTACGGGATAAAATGCAAAATGTAGGTATAAATCGCTCAAATTGTAGGTATAATCAAGATTAAAGAATTTTCTTTGGGTAAATTTTTATTTGCACAAAAAACATTGAACTCAATGAAATTCCCCGTCCCTGGTATGCATCTCGCGTTCAAAGTTGATCCAACACATTCTCCAAATTATATTGTCACAAAAAAATTGAGGAACAGATTGGCAGTCCGCACGATTGAGGCCGTAATCCGAGTTGGTGAAGAGTTCCCTGGATGTTTTGAAGTTAGTGCTAGTCTCTCTATTCCAGTGCCAGAGGATCATATATGGAAAGAAACAATAATAATGACCGGGAAGACGTTGAGAACATTGAACAGTTTGACTGACTATTTACCTGAAGCAAATTTCCCTTTTTATTGTGTTAATTTGGTTTATATTTTTTTAACTGCTACTTGCATCATATTATTATATTATATCGTTCTAAAGTTATAACAGCTTCATTAAAATAGACAGGTTACAAAGCGAATTGAGTTTTTTCATTGGTGGTCATTGTGTGGGTTGTTTTCGTGGGTATAATTTCGAAATTGTAGGGATTATTTGTAGGGATAATTGAGGAAAAATGCGTAGGGAGAAAGTAGGGAGAAAACGCATGCGCTGTAGGTATATCTGGCTTTCATACAGTGGCAACCTTGCCACTTGTGCGCTATGTCAGTTGAGCAAAGAAGGTCAGCTGCAGACAAGCATGCTTGCGACTACTTTGACGTTAACAAGAACCATCAGCTTTATTGCTGGGAATATTTGTTAGAGAAAGTTGAGGTCAGTCCGCATCATCACGTACTCGACTTAGGCTGCGGTACGGGCGATGCTGCGTCGATTGTTGCGAAAACAAAGGCGACTAACGGCCTAGTGACCGCGTGCGACCCTGACTTGGAGCGGATTAGAGTCGCCAAGCGGAATCATGCAGAAGTAAAAAATTTGAATTTTGTCCACGCTAAAGCGTCAGAATTTCTCGTTGGTTTACGTGACAATTTCGACGTTATTTACAGCAATCTTGTCCTGCAATGGATGTCAGATTCTGAACTAGAATCTGCATTGAAAGGGATGTACCATTCTCTCAAAGACGGGTGCATTACCGGACATGTTTTTGCAGCTGCTGTCCCGCCAAATATGAAAGCTATTAAAGAATTGTTACCAGAAGTTCAACAATCAAAATTTGAAGTCATCTTTCGCCCTCTTGATCCAAATAAGCTCAAGACCTTGGCCGAAAAGATAGGATTCGAAACAACAGCAATCGTGGATTACCCAAAAATTTCACGTTTTGAGACGATCAGCGATTATTTGAAGTGGCTTGATGCAACATTTCACGGAGACATTAATTTCAAAGAGGCTTGGCTGGGTAGTGCAGAAAAGCCACAACTGGACACGCTTGATGATGGCGCTTTAAAACATCATGCCTCGTTGTTCTTTGCTGCATTTAGGAAACCGTAAAAATGAAGGCAACCGCGTGAAACCGCTAGACCGCAGTTAATACCTCAGTGGTTCTTTGAAGATATGCTTTCTTTTGTGTAAACGCAAACGTGCAGTCTAAAGACCCCCAATAGTGTCTGCAAATTCATAATTCATAATCTGCAAATCGCTCATAATTCTCATAATTCATAAGCTCGTAATTCTGCAAAACAATGGTTGATGCTTGGCAACTATGGTCGACAGACATCTCTTCACTATCCACAAAAACATACTCTTTTACAGGAACATACTTTATATTAACGTGAGGCAGTCGATTTGTTAAAAGTACTTTACTTTCATGTTGTGATATAGCAATTTCCCTTACCTTTGATCAGCTGATACTTTGAAAGTAATCCCCCCTCCCCCAGTCCCTTTCTAGTGTCACACCTGCTTCCTTCTGGCCCTCGGACCTTGAATCTTGGTTTTGTGTAAATACATATTCACAACCCCTACCCTAAAAAGATTGTCAAATTATGTTCTATTTATGTTTTATGAACCCACGATTCCTTATGATTCCCATGATCCCAATTTCATTCCCACCCCCCTTGTTGCCAAAACGTGTGGCCACTTATGAACACGACATAATTTTGTCTTTTTGATTAAGCTTTAGTTTTGTAATCGTAGTATCGTAATCATACTATCATACTTTAATAATCGACCGAATTTTTAAAGATAGGACTTTTTATAAGATATTAACAAATTTACAATTAATTCTGTGTCCTTAGTTTCTCTTAAAGTAGTATGCTTATGAAGAAATTAAATATTGAGATAAAATGAAATTCATTAATTTTAGACAGGTCTTTTCTTTATAGGAGCTTTATTACCTATAGCTGATTGAATCATCCTTTAAAAATGAAGTTGATATTATTATTAAAGGTAATGAGTCCAGCTAAAGCAAGCGACTCTGCAGGGGTTTTTAGAAACGTGATTTTTCATGTCATCGCCCCAGCCATTACGGCCGTTTTGTTTATCTATACTGCTGCGAGGTTAGCTTTTCATGTGAGCAGTTTTGCATCTCAAGAATACTAACCAATCGCAAACTGCTATTTTGATGGGTGGCTTGACAAGTTGGGCATACGCAGTCCTTTTATATGGACACATATTACCTTTAATAGTCTTATTTAGGAAGGGCTTCAAAACCTTACTGCATGTGGGTTGTTTAATGCAAAGTAGACTGTATAACTTTCATGCAACTTTGACAAACTTTCATGCAAATCTTCGATGACGCATGCGGGACCGATAGTCTACTTTGCATGGAACGAATTCCTGATGTGATAATAATAATAATTGATGATAATGATAATAATAATAATTGATGTTACAGGTGTAAAGCCACCAAATGCATCTGAGGCTTTCAGAATAGGAAACATGCTTGGCTCATTCAAATTGCTTCTCACAGAGCCAGGACATGCAGATATTTATCAGAGAATTAGGCTGAATGTTAGCCAGGATGATGTTTTATTCGCACTCAAAGAAGCTTCAAAGAAGCTTTAAACCTGCAGACTGGAAGAGGAGACAGTCAACAGCCTTATTTTTCAAGCAGACCATTTACAACTTTAGACATTTAAAATGCAGTAGAACTTAAACTTGTCTATCTTGCATATTAAATACAGAAGTTGAAAAGTAAAAATAAAATTTATTTTCCTTAGTAAGACATATTTTGAAGATTTTGATATTTTCAAAAGTAATTTCATGTGCACAATGGCAAGCAAAGTTGAGGGGAGGGTTGGGGGTATTTCTTAATTATATTTTAAATTAATGAAATTAATGTTTCAAGATAAAAATTCTGAATTGAAGCATTCAGTGATCTAATCAAATGTAATTTACCAGTCCTATTTTTGCTGTTTTTCAAGCCTCAAATTCCATTCTTATGGTATTCTTAGCAGCTGGTACCCCTACAGGAGCATCCCATTAAAATCATTTGATTCCTAACTCTCATTTTGATCCTCCCTACCCATCTCATTTTCTGCCCACCACAGGCATTCAATACTAATTTTCTGCCCATTTAAGACAGTCCAAACAAATTTATAAGAAATTTTCAATCAGACACATTTGCTCTTGAAACCATTTTCATTTTTTTATGTATTTAAATATGTATTTTATATAAGCAACCCTTGAGTAAAAAGAAGATGCTAGATGAAAGAGTGAGGTCTTTTATGCACGTTTGTGAATCCATTTTGATTTGTCTTTTCAGTCTTTGTGTATGTAAATGGTAATGTGGCCAGCCTTTTTTGGACTTCAATTTGTTTTGTCTACAAAAAAAATTTTTTTAAGAATACAAAGTATAAAACATCCAGTCACAGAGACCTGGTCAAAGGTCACATCAAATCAAACAATAACATTCTAAAGGGAAAGAGGGGAGTATTTTTTCAATATCAAATAATATCAAATAGAAATTGGTATTGATGATATTGTGAAAATGCAAAAAAAGGCAAACTTATTTCCATCTTGCCAGTGGCGGAGCCACAGGGAGGGGAACGGGGGAGAAAGTTTGGTCTTTTTCAGAAAGTTGGTCCTTGAGATTCTTGCAAACCTGAGGAGAAAACATCAGGGAGACAACAGGTGTTTCCTCCGGAAGAAGAGTTTCAAACAGAAAAAGCGCGTGGTCCCTGACACACCTTTTGTCCCCCCCCATTTATCCCAGGCTGGAGCCGCCACTGCATCTTGCACATGGCCACAATGTCACAATATTTTTCAAGCTTTGAATTTAGCATATAAACAAAAAGTAAAATGGCGGGCAACAGGGCTACAAGTTTTGGCATAAAATATTAGCCGGTATATACAATGGGATGAATTTATAAGATACCATACCCTGTTATACAGAAAGACTCCAAAGACAGCCAAGAACATTCCAACTGAATTCATTGGAGTTATTGGGTTTTTCAAAGTTAAAATTGATATGGCAATAACTAGAATTCTTTTGGTGGCAGTTGCAACGGAGTAGCTCAGAGGTGATAGGAGATTCAGGACTGAAAATGCCATAATGTTCTGTGTGAAGTTTATTATCCCACTTAGCACAAGCCGTGATAAAAACCAAACCAATGTGTCTGAAGATGCCTGAAAATAAAAAAAGATTAATCTAAAATTTATGGCCTGAAATATGAATATCAGTATTCTAAAAGCTATAAACAATATTCATAATTTCAAAAAATAACTAACTACTTAAGTTTTTAAATAAGAAAAAGTTGATAGGATAAAACTAGACAGTAGAAGAAAATGATTAGAAATGAAGACTTTGTTGTGCATGGAATTTTTTGAATTCTTTATCAAACACAAAATAAATTAAGTACCTATGGGTTTCAAAAAAGACTTTAAAACAGGAAGAATGAATTGTGGACAAACTGATAAATGAGAAAAATTTTTGCAACTTGTTTTTACATTGACTAGTTGTACTTGTGACAAAACATTAGATTTAAAAAAGTGTGCAATATTCTTTGTGTGCCTAACCATTCCTGGGAAGTGAGTTCAACCAATAGGAAAGCTGTTACCAAGAAAATGTTTTGAGGAGTTATTCCTTGGATCATTTTGAACCTTATAAAGTGCTGGGGAATTAAAAAAATTTTTATACCAATTTCCAAAGTAGCATCAATTTTCATTGTTACGGTTGTTAATGGATATTTTCTGCAACTCAAAATTCAGGGAAATAATAACCTGTCAATTTAGGAAAACCTTATGTGATGTTGAAGTTGAGTAGATAACAATAAAATTGAAGACTAACCAATCTCTCATCATTGAAAAGCTGCTGTGAGTCTGTTATTAGCCATAATGGCACAGCGATGACAAATGAAATATGTGCAATCCGTGTAAGCAAATGCAAGTGGTTCAGTCGAAGATCTTTAATAGCCTGAAATTTATCAATTGAAACAATTCTCCAATGAATTGAAATAAATCTTGAAGAGTCTTGGTCTGTTCATATTCTGTTTGACAAAATCATAGACCTGTTGCAAAGGCCTTTCCCAAAAAAAGCCTCTCACAATGGCAAGTCTCTCAAGCAATTTACTCTAGTGTCTCTAATAGAAGGGGGGAGGTAATAGAAGGGTGGGTTCATTTCGGCCAATTTTCAATAGAAGGGGGGTGCTCATTCTGGCCAATTTTCAATAGAAGGGGGTGCTAATAGAAGGGGATGTTCATGCCAGGCAGTTTCAATAGAAGGGGGTTGCTAATAGAAGGGGGTGTTCATGTCAGCCAGTTTCAATAGAAGGGTCAATAGAAGGGGGTTGCAAATAATAGAAGGGGGTGTTCAGGTTGACCAATTTTCAATAGAAGAGGGGTGCTTATAGGAGGGGGTGTTCATGTCAGGCAGTTTCAATAGAAGGGGATTGCAAATAATAGAAGAGGGTGTTCAGGTTGACCAATTTTCAAAGAAATGTTAGCAAATTTCAATAGCAAGGGGAGCTAATAGAAGAAGTGGATGTTGCTAAATCTTTAATTAAAAGGCAATGAAATTAATAGGATGGTGACACTGTTTACTTGATAATAATGGATAGATGGTTAGAGATAAAGATAGACAAACATAACAGGGGGAATTATTACAATTAAAAATAATTACATAACATGACAAGGGGAATTATTGACAAGTGAAAATTGTGTGTTTTGGTCATGAAAAATTTGTAAAATTTAATAGAAGGGGGGTGCTAATAAGCAACTGAGGGAGGGCAAATTTTTCTTAAATTAATACACAGGGGGCCTGTCTATTAGAGACACTAGAGTAGGAGGAAATGGACAATAGGAGGAACAATGTGATCGAATGAAAATTGATATTTGGAGCACAACATGAGTGATATGAAGAGTACTGTAATGTAAAATACAAATTTCAGAAGAGAGAAGCATAAAATAAGTGAGCTATGGACCTTCATAGTCCCCTCTCTGTAATAGTTTTGAGAATTGGATTCACCTCAAAAAAAACTTCCAAATGAAACTCTTGTTAACACACTTAGTGAAGTCCTCCTACACAGAGGTGCTAGGTGTCTCTTTAATCAAGGAAGATTTTCAAAACAACTTACCCGTTTTGTGTATATATTCTGGAGAGCAAAAACCATTGTGCAAAACAATGCTGTCAACATACCATACACCTCAAATGAAAGTTCTGTAACAGTTGCAATGCCAACACCTGATATTATTGGCAATAAGGACAGATAAACCTACAATAAAATCTATTTATTAAAAATAGTGTACTATAAAATGAATTGAAACATACAATGGATGTTGCAGAAGACATATCAAGGAAGCTTTACTCTTGCATGTAAAAAAAATATTTCTAGCCAAAATTTTGACCGGTTTCAGAGTGCTTTACCCCGTTATAGTATTGTGTGTTATTGGTCCATAAATGTTGCTAAAAGTTGCTATAAAATGTCACAATTTTACTCCGTTCAGCATGGCCTTTGATCCTTTTTTGCAACTTCAATTCTAATTTTCATGAATTTTTCTGAGAAAAAAAGTCTAGTCCCTTAATACAAAACCTCAGATTCTGATTTGCATCTGTATCTCATTTTGTATAATTTTGTTTTAAAGCGTCCACACTTTCGAGCTATGGCTATCCAGGAACGGATCCAGGATTTTTTGTGACTATAACTCAAATCTTTTGGGATTGGGAACATGCCTGTCTGTTTGTAGGACACTTCCACTATATGGGCAAATGCTTTGACCATGTGTGTTTATAGTTGCATCGTATTCATAAGTATTCCTTTGAACTTCCTTTTTCTATTTCCTGGGATGCAGGAGAAGAGGGTGTGGGGTTCAACCACCCCTGTTGTCCTTTTATAGGAGGGGCAAGGGGGTCAGTGTCCTTTTTAATAAATTGCCCTTGAAAGTGGCCGATTGTAGTAATCAGAGAGATTCATATGAATTTCTAGACTTCTTAAAACTTTGTAAAGTAATTCCTAATCCCGAAAGTTAGCCAATGTTCAAGAAACCTACAGAAGATCGCAATTAAATTGCAGTTATGTTGGAATTTGTAGAAGCTGAGAATTATATTCTAAATTCCCTTTTACTCAAGCCTGCCCCCCTCCTCTTTTGCTGCTTGGTTGTTTCGCCGTCCCTGTCTATTTCCTAGTAGGTCCTTTCCTTTGAAGATACATTACACAGATACAGGACACAGGTTGTGAAAATGAGCTATAGTCCAATGTTGCTTTGCAGGGGATAGAGAGCAGAGAAGTACAGTGGATACTCATATTCTATTGGTCAAAAGGCCATTTTCAAACCTGACTATAGCTTTACTATAGCTTGCGCCAAAAATTGTAGCACAGGTTTCATTGTTTTGGTGCCTTTTCGAGAGCAAATCCCCAGACTGACTATAGCCCGGAATATTCACTATAGCTCAATTCTTGTTTGGTTACTGTCAACAAAGGGCGGAACTTCTGATTCATCTAAGTTTTAATATTAGACCATTCTGCACTCAGTGTTTTATATCTTATCTGTAACAATGTTTGAAATATTTCAGAAGCATTGTGGTGATACATTGCCAGCATTGTATATTTGTAAATCGTATTTGATAACCGGATACGCTGTTTTCAAAGGTTGATAGGCTCGTTAGCAGAGAAAGAATAAACACTACTGTGAGGATAAACACATTTTAGGTACTGCAAGGAACTTTGAATTCCGAAAATCAAACACAGAGATTTTGACTATAGCTCAAGCTACAGTTGCTATAGTCTGGATCCGCTCCCAATATCGATTTTAAATATGCTTTTTAGTCATGAGTTTTCCTTGCATAAGGGAAACATATGGGCAGCAGTTTTCACAGGTTTTCAGAAATCAATAGTCACCAGTTTCAAAATTGGCAAATCGATAGCATACTCTACTCTCACTTCGAAAGGTGGCTGATTTCATCGATTTTGAATTCCTTGGATACTTTGGGATAAAAGATGAATTAGGCAGCTGGGAACTCTGCCGGAATCTTGTGGGGGCTCAATTCAGTATGTAAACAGAAGAACTGTTTTCAGCCAGGAAGAAATGCATCAATTGTGGCAATTGAAATTATAGATCAATATAATTGAAATTCACTATTTACAGAGAAACATAGCTCTTAGAATAGGGGGGACTAGTCGCCCCCACTTTTTCAGAAAGTTGGTCCTTGAGATTCTCAAAAACCTGATGATAAAACGACGGGGGGGGGGTATGTACTTTATCTAGATCACCATATTTAAATGACATTTCTTGGGAGACAAGAGGTGTTTCTTCCGGAAGAAAATGTTTCAAACAGGTGAAAGGGCGTGGTCCGAAAGGGCGTGGTCTCTGACACACCTTTTGCCCCCCCCCCACTTATCCCAGGTTGGAGCCACCACTGAATGATGAGGTAACTATGCAAGGTTGTTATTTTAAGAAGATCAAGACAATGCTTCATAATGGTCAGTGACCATATAAATATAAAACTGATTTGTAATGTGCAGATAGGAATCTCCTGTCTTTAGGTTTGTCTTTGAACAACAGCTTGGAATAGATATGACTAGCAGCCAATACACCAATTCGACTTACGACCTCGTTTTGGAAATTTCTCCAAACTTGATTATACGACTTTTTTAAGCTCAGATTTGGTTTTATCGTCACAATTTTAGGCGGTATACCATTTTTCATATTGTTTTAACTTGTATTTTAGATTTTACGGAGAAATGAAGTTTAAAAACCTGCAAGGGATTTGACCGCAAAAATTGTTTAGGGGGGAAACTTTACCCCCCTAGTTGCCAATCACGGTCAAATCCCTTATAAAATTTTCATCTTTATGTCGTCATAATATCAATATCGTGAGCAAGATCATAATGAAAATGCACAAGTAGACTAAAATCATTGCTGTCAATCCGAATCTGAGGTCAAAAATTTTGTACAAAAGAATTCGAAGAATTTTTCAAAATGAGGCCTTAAGTCGAATTGGTGTATTAGAATGCCTGTTTACAATTTCTAGCATTTCCCTGAAAATCTTTTTATTTCATTGTTGATTTGGCAAGAGAAGAGGACCACTATTGTATACAGCCATTGCATAAGAGTCACAAAAACAGAGGATGAAATTTTCTTTTGAGAAAAGGTTAAATGTAACTATTAAAATGGAATTCATCAACTTTGGCTTTAGCTTAGTTTCTCTAATAAGGAGGGACAGTTTTTAGTGCAACCTTTCATACTAACGCCAAAACCTATATTTGCTTTTCAGCTAGGTCTATTTTACAAAGAATGAAAGTTGCACTTTTATGTAATGTATGTTAACAAGCCTGAATCTTTTATAGAGGAACTGAATTTTATCATAGGTGAAATTAGAAAAAATCACCTAATGTGTGATGCTCTCAGCTTGTCTAATTTCCATTTTATGTAAAGATAAAAGCACTGATTAGAAACAATAAAGAAATTTACCTTCCAACTTTGTCTCTCCTTAAAAATCATTCGAGTAATGAGAACAGTAAAAATTGGCATCATTGCCTAGAAAAAGGAAAACAACAATCACAAGTACTCATTAAAATCTGTTATAAAACATTGACCAACAATCAATAATAAATTTGTCAATATGCAGACTGATAAATTCTTTCCTTTAAGTCAGGTTTTTAAAAGGAAGTAGGAAATAATACTTACTTTTACTTTGTAATTGAAGTCACAACACCAGATATGAAAAGGAAGACAGAGATTTCAATTACAAGACAAAATTGAAATATGGATTGGGTTGGTCCAAGTTTTGGACCAAGGTTAAATCTGTCTCTGTTACACCAGAGATCTCCAGCAGGCTGGCATCCATGTGTCCTCCAGGCCAGCATACTGGAGTGAAACTGTATCCTTTTCTATTTGTTCAAAGTTATGATATATTTCTTTTCAAACTTTGGCATTCGATCCTTGTCTACAGTGTAGAAAAAACATGGATCCCACCAAAGTTTATGGTTGACTTCTTGGTTTGTTGCTTAAAAAAATTGTAAGAGTATGCTTTGCACAAAACTGTGCTCCTTCTTTGGGAAAAGTAACCATTACTTCCATATTTGCTGGTAAAAAAATAACCCTTCTCTGTACATACTGAACAATTAAAACTTGGTTTTATTGTGCTAGCAAAAAAATAAAAAGTCAATCCATTCTAAATGCAAAATTAATAAAAGAAGGCATATTTTATTTTTTCTTGCATGCTTTATCAACACATTGTGAATAGTTGAAATAAAATTGGCTTAATAAAATTTTGAAGAACTGTAAAAACATTAAAAGACACAATGAAAACATTTCCAATCTTTTTCAGATTGCATTAAATGTGATTATTTCAAAGCAAAAATATAATGGACTCAGAAGTTTAAAGAGCCGTTGCAATATTTCGTTTAGTGGAAAGTTGAGACAAAATTTCTGGTTGCACTTGCACTGATATGAAAAGGTCGTTGTGTTGTAAACATGGTGAACAAAAGGCCAGGCAAGACCAACCTGTATGTGCGTAAGAGACTGGGATCCTCCATATGCTGACGTGGGATGAAATCGAAACCAGGAGCTTTCCTATCCCAAGCGGTATCAGCAGCACATAGAACCTTAAGATCGGAATATCGACTGTCGTCTTCACTCCAAAGCCAAACAAAACAGGGTACATCAAGAAGGCCGTGGACGTCATATGCGATAAACTGACCGTGATTGGATATGGATAATCTGAAAGGAGCCTTTTGATAATGACATTGTTCGAAGAACTTAAACAGAACCAAATCGTGCAGAGAATCGCAACCTTGACTCCACGGCTATATCCACTATAGTCTCCCATCGCAATTATCAGACTTGCATTATCATCTCCCTTCCTCTCGAGGGTTCTTTTCGAAAGAAAGATTATTTTTGATGTGTACTAAGCCTCTCTTCCAATCCAGCCTCAACTGAAGTGCAACTCAAACATCCCTATTAAAGATGGCGTTGGCAAGATGTTGTCGATGAAGCTATCAAATAAAAGGCATGTCTTGTCCTTCACCAGACTCTTCAACGCACAAAAGTTATTTCAAAGAAAAGAATAAAGATTCTGTAGAAATGTGAGTGGTCAATTTATGCAAGTATTTTATTAATGACTCCACTAGCTAGCTTTGTGATCAAATCATCTATCTGGGAGGGCCCCCCAAGAACTATCAATTTTTCCAGTTTTGAATTGAACATGTCATACCGTAAGTCCTCGAATTATCCCCCTGGGGGCTTGTTTATTTTTGATATTTTTGGATGGGGGCTTATACGAGGGGGGCTTATACGAGGGGAGGGGGCTTATTAATAAAATTATTATAGACATTAAGAGGACATTATTAAATGTTAATAGACCTCGTTCATTTTAGTAGAAATTACTTTATGAGCAATTAACTAATTACTACCAAATTTATAAATTTGTTGTGGTATTTCAATAAAACGCCATAGCCAACCTCTGATAGCAAAAATCATCAAATGGAGGGGTACAATTTGAAAATTTACAGTAGCAGTGGGGGCTTATTCGAGGGGGGGGTGGCTTTGACTATGAGCATGTACAGTTTTTAGGTGCGTCCTCAACGGTACCATGTCTGCCTCTTGAGTGCGCTGTTGCTATGCTTTGCATACTGGCAGATCCAAGCAATTGAAGCCAGTATGGATTCCATGACAGGTGCACTCCCGAGAGGTTTTTGTAAAATAACAGGTGCACACTTGCACACCTGAAAGATGGACGTGGTTTGAGCATGTTTTTGGATGTAGCTGAAATCAAAAAGTTCTTTCCACTGTAGCTGAAATCAAAAAACAGCAAAATGACTTTCTAAATTTGTGCACAACTAAGATTGGAAAAAAGTGTCATTCTAAATTCTAAATAAACCAAAAATAAAGCTCCTTGCGAGGAAAACAAGCAGAAAATTTTGTCACCCCGCTCTTTTGATTAGCTTAAAATACATTTCAGAATATTCTTTGCCGTCATTTTCTTGCAATTTGTTTCAATATTACTTTGTTTCAATTGTTTCATTGTCACATTTTACTATCATTTCCGGTCTGTAAATGGATTTGTAAAGTTTAATTATAAACAGATTAATTCCATTTTTAAGTGGAATTTCTTTCTTGATGAGGTTTTCTACACATCGAGGCCCTTAGACATTTTGCTCCTCTTGGTGGCCCGGCTTTAGATCATCCTCAAGATGCTCTTAAGATGCTAATGTTCTTGGCCTTTTTAAACATTATTTCTCAAATTATTGCTTTACTTGACAAATCTTTAGGAATTTGAATAACAGCAACTGACTGTAGGTAACCATAGTTCAGCTCTCAATCATGAATTTCCCAGAGATGTAAAATTGTTGTAAACAGGAAAAATGCCAGACAAAATATGTACACAATCAAGAATCACTGAGAAATTTGATGCAGACTCAAATGTGTACACTTATCACAAATGCACTCTTGCACTCCCAGGTAATAGCTTTTTTACTCCTGAGATCTCATCAAAAGCTGCGATGAAAACCAGACTGGAACTGAAGTAGGGAAAAGCACAAAAAAAGAAACAAATGAGACCAAGTATTTTAAACAATTTGTGGACTTGCTTGAGAAAAATGCATTACTCAGTTCAGTTCAGTTTCATATCATTTTAAAATTCCACTACATACAATCCAAAAAAGACAAAATTTAAATACAATTGAATATAACATGCTTAACTAATTAATGCAAGATAAATGCTACACAAGAAACCTAAAAGAAACAATATATAGTATTACATCAAGAAGACAAAGGAATTGTATGTAGGGGAATTTCTTAAGGAGAGGCTCTCTCAGTAGCTAGGCCAAGCGAGGAGAGAGCACCCCCTATTTATTTATAACTGATTGGCTAATCTTTCAAAATTTCTTTGAACAATTTATGCATCTGACTTTTGACTGAATGGGGACTTTTCGTGAACAGTATTTGTTTTCAAAGAAAAAAGTCTTAAGTTTGCAACGAAAACTACAAGCAAATTTTGAACTTTTTATCTCCAAGGGAATGTTTTTCCAGCATTTTGCTCCAAAATAACGAACTGACCTAAGACCATATTGAAGGGTATTTTTCTGATTTAGAAAAATATCTTCATTAGTTGCTTGACGTGTATGATATGAATGAGCAGGTTTAATTAATTCAAAGAAGGAATGAAAACAAGCGGGAGAAATTTTATTTACACAATCAGAAACAAAACATAATAATTTCAGCTGAAAAAGATCATGCAGCTTTGAAATCTTCAAGTCAGAAAAGATTGGAGTGGAAGGAGAAGAAAGGTTTTGAAATGAAATTGCCTTTACAACCCTCTTCTGTAACAAGAACACAGGATTGATATAAGTCTCATAGGTAAGGCCCCAAACTAATATGCCATACTGCAGAAAAGGTGAAAATAAAGAATTAAGACAAATCAAAACGTTACTACAAGCCAGATTTACCCCTTTTCATGTAAAAATTCATATTTATTTAACAAAATGGTCAACAGAAGTTAACATTGAACATGTTTTAGCACAGTGTCTGATTTTGGTGCACAACAGGCGAGTCTGCAGAGTATTACAGATGCATGTCCCAAGTTCTACACTCCAAAATTTAAATTGCCACCAAATTTACTAACTAGTAAACTTAAAGATGTTCCGCTTAAAGATGAAAAGATTGCTTTCAAGTAATTTTCTGATGACAGAGACTTTGCAGGAAACTTTGCTTTTCTTTCTAAGAAGGGAGAGAATGGCATTGGGACTCGAACGATAAAGTATGTTGCTTGCCTATATGACAATGATGGGTTAGTTGCTATGACATTAATGAAGATGAAGGGGACTTTCAAATGAACTTCATGCACCCACATGAACCCACTTAGAACTTTAAATGATCAAGCCGATCAGACATATGATGGGTATCACATTTACATGCTTTGCAAAACTGATTCATCCAAAACAATTACAGGTCAAACTTAGAGCTTCAGCTACAGTGACTATAAAGCAGCATCTCAGCTTTTCCAGGACTAGAGATCATTTTTAATTATTTTTTGTTGTCTCTAAATGTGAAATCATGATTGATTCAATGTTTTTAGCAGCTATTTTTATTTCATGCAATATTACCTTAAATACAAATTTTTTTTGCTCACGATTCTTGCAAAATTATACCCATTTTGTAAGGTGCAATTAACTCAAAATACTTCAATTGCAATTGTAATCTTAAATATTTTCTGATAGCCCAAAGAATACACTTTCAGAATATAGCAAGCTTCTAATGCTATGATTCCAGCTAGAGGACTTTTTTTCAATATTTATATGCATCAGTTGGGAATATTTTCAAAACAAGTGATAACCTTCAACATATGACTATCTGCTTCACCTTAGAGAATTGACAAATTCTGATGCAATATTTCAAATCTACAGTATCAAATCAATAATTGACATTATTTTCAAGCAAATATGGACAACTATAGAAAAGTTACAGCTATTGATAGAAAGCCGCGCCCATCGCTTGGTAAACTGGGTGTGGCATCTTTGGCTAAAATGGTCACTTTTGAAACGGCTACAAAATTGCAACCATAGAGATATAAGGATAAAATTTTGTATGTGGTGTTTTTTCCAAGATGGCTCTTTGTGGTAAAAAAGTCAAGAAATTCTAAGACCATGGGTTACAAATCTTAAGAATATCTGATGATTTGATATGGAATGACCCAAGTGCTATTATGAAAAAATTCTTTTTGCACTTCATATAATTAGCAACAAGAGGTTTACACACAGTAAACATGCTTGAAATAACTGTATCATGGATAAAGAAAGAACTATCACAGTAAAAGTTTTCAACAAAACAGAGGTGATTATTTTATTGCCCTTGCCTATTTAGAAATTGCGCAGTTGTTTTCCTACAGGCCTAAGTTCTATTTGGTTTTTATTTTTGGCCACTTAAATAATTAACATTACTACACACAAGGTCTGATTGAGAGCTACCATATTCTACAGGCCTGATTTGATCATTAGCAGCATGGCTAGTTTTAGATCTGCAGTAAATCAGAGTATTTCAAATCACAGACCTTGTTGTATTTCCCTTTTTTAATCATTCACTTTAATAATGTTGATAATAATAATGAAAACATTTTTTATTTTATATTCTTCTACTTACAACAGTAACCTCACTTTACAGGTAGTTACTATCGGCTAGCCTGGTGACAAGTTTACTAATTTTACAAAAGTTATAACATTTAAATAAATCATATGAGTGTAAAGAATCTTTAGAAGGAGAGCAGTTCAGGCTTTGTCCAAGTCTTATTGCGCATACAGAATATATAATAGGATGTGCGTATAATTATTGCTGACAGTTTTTTAATTATAAAATTACGGTGTTGGTAGTAATTACGGTAATGATAATAATAATGATAATAATAATAATAATAATAATAATAATTTTTTTTTTTTAAACATCTCATTTCCATTGAATACATTTTAAATTTACAATTATACGACTCGCTTTTACAGGCATCATATAATTGGCTTATCTGCATTACAATATTTAAAAGTCAATTAGTTCGGGGCTTAGCCATGGTTTGTTTCGACGACAGAAGATATAGTAGATGCAGCGGATAGAAATGTTCATGAGTTTCATCAAGATGGATTTAGTTTGATTTGAGTCAAAATTAAGTTGGTGTAGCATGTCAGAGAGAGAGGTAGATGAGGTTCCCAGAATGCTAAGGGCACTCATAGAAAGGTTAACAAAGGTAACACGTTTATAGGCAGGGCTTAGTTCCTTGATAAGATCGCTATATTTCCTAGCTTTTCGAGTACTGTTTTCGTCGATGTTGCTTTTGAACCCAATAGTAAGCTCTAGCATGTAAAGGATTCGATCTTCAGTTACGAAGACAAGATCTGGTCGATAGGAGTCGCCTGTGATTAAAGAAGGTGATAGAAATGAAGGCAGGTCGATGTAAAGTGAGCAATAATAATAATGATAATGATAATCACTTCGATGTTACCTTTGATCCTTGTTTAATTCATTCACAGAACAGCAAAGGAAGCAAAAACCTCTGAACCAAGGCAACTGGATGTCATACAGAATCATGCCATCAATTCAACTCAAGATTTGGAAGTGAAGCATAGGAAGCGAAGTGGGTCTAAGAGTCTCAAGGCCAAATTCAAATCAAAGTTAAAGAAACTCAAGTTGACAATCTATGACCCAATTTTAGAAGTAGCTGAAATTGAAAATGATTTTGTAACTTGGAGTGAACAAATCACAGTGGTAAATTCAGGTGGTTTAGCAGAACACTGTCATGATAGAAAATTGCTTGGAAAGAGAATATTCCATCTTATTAACAAAAAAGAATTCAAGCATTTGATGCCAGAAAACCTGAAGGTAGATAGTAATCATTTTATACCTTCCTCTTATTGCTTAATAAAATATGACTTTCTGTGGTACATTTTTGTTTAGTTTAATGACTGTATATTATATCTTGTTTGAAAGTCAACTATTATTCTTAAAATACCTGAATAAAATTATTATAATTTAAGTCTTAAATATGGTATTGTATATTCAGTTCAGTTCAGTGCTGTTCAATTCAGTTCAGTAATAGAATGCTCTGAAGAATATCTTGAAAGATAAACTACAGTTAAACGAACATAAAAACTTATACTAGGCCACATTACATATTCAGCGTAAGAGTAGTAAAGCGTGTTCACAGCATGAATAAGCAAGGCTTAACTTAAAGTCTCAGTTTTTATTTTAAATTTCATTGTATACATACATTTGTTCCAAATTAGCATTAATCCAAGCTTAAAATGTATAAATAATGTAAAAAGAAATTAACTAATATAAACGTAACAGAACAAATACAGAGTAGAGGAGAAACAAGCTAGTATTGTACACAGGATCAGTATATTATAAACTAATCAAGGAAAGAGCACTCTCTAGAAAATTAGATGCACTTGTAGTGCCAAGAGTAAAAAATATGTAAGTTGCTTTGCGTCTTCCACAGAAAAATACCATCTATGTATAAATTAAGTTAAAGGCATTTGACACAGCTAAAAGTAGCTTACAGCCACTCTACCACGAGCGGTTGACCAATAAAATTGCGCACAGCGAAAAACATGTGAACAGTTTCCGCCTTTCTGCAAATTGGTGAAATCCTAGAGCAGCGTGCAGTGGTTTCATGTGAGCAGTTTTCAATACCTTTCTTGTGCGCATGCTCTGATCAATTTGGCCTAAGTTATTTTGGATTCGCTGTACTTATGCATGTCAAATACCTTTAAAAAACTGACATTGGTTACTAGGTTGTTTTGTAAAGATATTTTAAGGTTTTTGTTAAAAGAATATTTGAAGGAGAATTTCTAATTTCTACTGGTAGTCCCACCTGAAAAGTCTCAGAAGTTTGAGCTTTTTAGAAATGGGATATGTGTTTCCAACTGACTGGTGTATGACAACTAGCAATACACAAAAGCCAAATTCACCAAAAAAAATAAATATGGCTCTTGTTCAGTTTGAGAAAATATCATATTCTGTGTCCATTAACCACATTCTCTAGGAGATTGTCATTTTACTTTAGCTTTATAGACAAGAGTTTGCATGAATCCATATATAGACTGGAGTACCTTTCAATAAATCAAGTACAAAAAAAGAGATATATAAAGTGGCATTTGGCTAAATGGTTTAAGGGCATTCCAAGCCTAAAATTGCTTTCATTTTCTACTACCTCAAATAAGCCATTTTTGACAAATTCCCACTTACTGAAAAGTTATAAATAGCTGAAAAGTAGTCATTTTCCATGAAAAAAACATACAAACACAGAAAAATACAAATTTAATTGAGACAAAGAAAAACTGGGCTAACACCATACGCCAAGACAGAAGACATTGGAAAATTACATGTATCGATCCAACAGACAGATTCTTGTAGAGGAAGTCACTGAAAACTAACAGTATTCCCATGCAATTCATTCCAAGGGGAAACAACACGTTAAATTAATAATGATGAATGATGAACTTTAGTGCGACTGTGATGTCAAGATGTTTTGCTATCACCATGAATTGCTTGCCTGCTTTCAAATTCTCATGTATTATAAGAAGTTTCACAAAACAATTAATGGTTTTCAGTAATTTCAACTATGTTTTATAGTGTTACAATGCAAGAGATGTAAGAGATTGGTGTCTCCAAGAGTTGTGCATGTTATCTGACCTTTCACTATTGGCTGTACTGGAAGGTAATGATTGGGGAGCAAAGAGTGAAAAAGTAAAAGACAGTGAAGAGGTAGCTTCAACATCAATTGAAAAAGCCAATGACAGCTCTTCAAAAGAGGGCGAAGGTAATATGCATGTCATAGAGGATAACATTCTTCTCATAGAGGAAGATAAAGCAAAGAATTTGATTACAAAAGAACAAAATGATCACGAGATTTTTGAAGAAATTGTCAAGATACCAGATCAAAATGAAATTGATGAGTTACTTAATGCTGCTGAAAAAAGAGAAGGTATTATTTTTTCCTTGTTAGATTGACTTTTGATCTTTTTTCAGACATGTTACTCTCTAAAGAGTGTCAGACAAAAACCTTTTATGTTTCTAAATAGTTGCTTTTTTAAAGCTATCTAAATTTTGTTCCACAAAAAGATTGTCTTAAAGGTATTGTTTTATTTAGTTGTGTCAGCAACCGTATTGCCAAAATCAATTCAGATAAGGGGCTGTATTTTGGCTGAAAGAAAATTACATCTCTACAGAAAATCAGTGGGGCAGGAACTGTGTGCCCACAATAGTTGTGGCCTCTTTTTTCTGAAAGTTTCTCTTTTTGGTTTTGAAAAGGGTTCTTTTTATTACAGAGCCCTGTAAGAAAAACAGTTCCCCTCTTTTGCTATGGGGCCCCACCACTTTTCCACAACATGCTTGCACAAAGTGACATATTGGCAGTGAAGTCACTTGAACATGAGTGACCTTATCATGTAATGCTACTATAAATAGAAGCGAGACACATGTAAATGGCTACCAGGAATTTTAACACCCTATAAGACACTAATGCATTCCCCAAAAACAACACTGGATTTACATAGTGCCATTTTATTTGGTACCTCATTAGCAGTTATGTAGAATATAAACACAATAGCATTGAAATTTGCTATTAGCATCAATACTTTGAAAATGTCACTTGTTACATTGGGATCTGTTGAATGGTCAAGAAAAAAATCATACAGGTCAGAGGTTGCTTATTGGAGTTTATTTTAGGCTTTTAATGAACCATGGGTAATGAAATGCACAATGAACCAGAATACTTAACCGTTCATGACTTTAACTTGATAGTGAAAGATCTATTTTCTTTGTTAACAAATTTTAAAAGCAATAAAATTTGATAAAATAGTCATTTTCTGGACACGGAAAACTAGATAGCTAACCCCTCTTTAAAAGGGAAAGAAAAATATGACCCCAAAACTCTGTTTGCTATGAAGACCTTCCTCTGATGTTACTTAATTTTTCTGTTTCAAGATCAAATGGAAATCAACAAACTCACTGAAAAGGAAGCTACTGGTGATGACTTGAATATGCTAGAGCTGGAACTGCGTGCAAGAGCTTTAAAATCATTTATTAAGTCACAAGAAATGAAAAGGTCAAAAACATCATAAAATGATGCTAAGTACAAGCACATTGGTGTAAACCTGTCATGTGTATCATACCAGCTAAAATGCAAGAGAGACAAAACTGGCAGAAATAAACCTTATTCTCAAACTGTGCATATTGTAAATATTGTATTCAGTATTTTATACTCAATTCATTATCACTTTTATTATCTGAGCATCTCGGTCACTCATTAAATTTCCTTTTGTTTTGGAGGTATTTATTTAGGCAGTGCACAAATCAAGCAGTTTATAATTATTTCTACAAATCATATTTAACAAACAAAGAAATAGACTGTTACAAAATTTTGAGAGTGAACTTCAGATAACATTGAAATACACACTTCAAATTTACATTTGAAAAATATGCACAGCTAGAGTGCCCAATGTCTTGGAAAAAAACAAATGCTAGACTACATATTTCTCTTTAGGTTTCACCTTATCAATGAACATGTGTGTGCCTATTTAAGGGATTAAGTGCTCATTCATAGGAGGTAATCATTAAGTTTTTGACTGTTATAGGGAGCACCCTTGATAAGTGGGGTGCTCATTTGAGGGTTTCACTAAAGGTCTACAGAATTAGAGTATTTGGTTTTTAGAAACTATGAATTTAGTGCTTTATTGACAATATCTTTCTTGTGGAAATTTTGGTATTTGCTTTTTATAAAACATTTAGTACACATTTATGGAAGCACTTGATAAAACCTTGTACCATTTCAGCTGCGGAAGTCAAAATTATTCTGTTACTTGTTGAATTATTAATAATTCCCTTTAAGGGTTATTCCAACTTAGACAAGAAGCATCCACAGTTAATATCCCACTACCTGGAAATACTTGGAAAGGAACATCAAAAGCAATATGGTAGCTCCATTTAGTGCCCACTGTGGTACTCCTACAGAGGGTCAATTTACAACCCAACATTTAGTGCGCATAGTTCCCAGTCACCAACTTCATTGTGAAAAGGGTGTGCATTTGATCTTGTTTCTCTGACTGCTTACAACTTATAATTTTATATGTTGTATTTGACTTCAAGAAATTGAGTATTGAGGTACAAAACAGGCAATCTTGCAAATTGAATCTTGCAAATAGAATCTTGCAAATAGAATTTGAAAAAGAAAATTGTTAAACAGTTAGCTACATATAGGATATTAAATAAAATTCTATACTTCCTAAGTACCAAAGTTTTGTGGGTGGTAGAGTGTTTGATTGTTTGATGAGATGTGGGTCAGCCTTAGGCCATAGTAGCTGATAATATAGTCAGATCCATCTGCTGGTTTTAGTACCTGAAATAAAATGAAACATAAATGGGCATTTTAATTGTTCATACTTCTGGGTTATTTTTAACAAAAACAAAAAATAGAATGAAAGTACAGCAAAAGTTAAGTCAGAAAAAGTTAAAAATTTCAAACCTGAGTGGCAATAAGAATAACATCAATGAGTTGAAATATCATGAAAAACCCCAATGTGCACAGCTTCAGTAAACCTAATTGAAGAGAAAGGTGTTTACTGAAGGGACATTTGCTATTTAGTATTTTAATTAATTGAGGTTAACCAATATAACCTGAAATAACCAATATATTTGAAGCTTAGAAGCTAAAAGATTTTATAAAAATGTTCTCTCAACCTCAACTTTAAATGGCTAAAAGTTCATTAGGATTGTCTTCACTTTCAAAGAAATATTGATACAATACATCAAATATATATATCTGTTGTTTTCTCAGCATTTTAAATTTAAAATTGCATTGTTGTACTAGGTAATTGTTATTCATTAATAAATGATGATCATCAGTGACAAATAAAAAAGATTGGTAAACTTACCAATAGCAGGGTAGCCAAGATAGAACCTATCTATACCAAAAAAACCAAGAAATATTGACAGAAGAAGAGCAACTTCAAATGATTTGCCAGATCTATAAAAGTCAAAAAGTATTTTTCTTTCTTTGTGTGACTCATACAATATGTAATATAATATTTAAAATTTTGATTCACCCTCATCCCTTTGAAAAAGAATATCGTCAGGAGAAAAATTAACTTTTCATGTATGGGAATGATAGCTTTACAATGGTTCATAAATATATCTTAGATAAAAGAAATAGTCGATTAAAACCATATTTACACTGGACTTTATCCAGTTGCACAAAATCAAATATCTTAAAATGCTTTAAAAATTATATTTAATTTCATGCAAACAAAACTACAGGCAGAGTTATAATACTCAAAGTTAATAAAATGCTTTGCTCAAAATTTTCAACATTTGCCTTTCCATAAGCAAATTTAGGATGCCCTAGATGGGGTGGGGGCAATTCTGTTCCACTTACTCTTTGATATGAGGGGCAAGGGGGGCTAAGTGCTCTTTTCCTCAAAGTACCCTTAACATCATAAAAGTGTTGGAATTGTTAAAATGGTTCATATAAAATCTTTACTGTAGTGCCCTTTCATGATAAACTTGTGAAGAAATTTCTTATAACAGCAGTTAGCCCATAGAAAATCTAAATAAAATGACACTTTCAAAAATCAATTAGTAGAAGATACAAATGATCTTTCAAATTGCCTTTACAATAGTCTGCCTCTTTGCCCCTTGTTCATTTTGGTTTCTCTGATTTAGAGAATTAACCATCCAGAAACATGTAAATTATCAAACCCAATAAAACTTCTACATTACATTGAATTCCAATAATTCTTATATAGGAAACAGTAAATAATGACATTCAAAATCACAAAATGCTCGATCAATGATCAAAGATGGTTTTATCTTTGTTATTTTGTCTAAAATGAATCAGATCCCTTAGCATCCAAACCAATGAATCAGATCCTAATCAAAGATGGATGTGAAATATTACATACACATATCTGCATGGCATATGTTTGTAGAAACCAATTTCGTCACCAGTAAAACTTTTTTCATCACAAATAACACCTGGTGCTGGGAAACAAGGAACTGCAGAAAGAGAGAAAGTTAAAGCTCTAGGAGAAATACTGAAAACAAGAAATTTCAAATTTATCAAGTTGGTTAAATGATGGTTCACCCCATGCAGGATTTCAAAGCTGTGAAGACCAAATTGTTGAAGAAGGTTCTTTTTTGTCACAACATAACACAACATAAGATTGATAAAACTTTATATATTTTGGTCATCTTAATGAAAAGTACTGTTATACTGGTCTGCAATCTAGTGCTAGATTGATGTATGATGAGCAGAGTTGTACATGCTTTGTTGTATCGTAATTTCAATTGTGCAACTTGGAGTTCCAATTTAGAACTATTCTGTTTTTATACAAAAAGATATCATTCTATACTTGTCTCTCTATCTCAATATATCATATCTCTAAGGCTGGTTGATATATTTACATAAATGTTTTGATCTCAATATCTAAAAACGTTTTTATCAGATCATTATAAGCATCTGGTATAGCAAGGTTCAGAAACAGAATGGAAAAAGTGGAAATATATTGAAAAACTACTTTTAATCCAAATTCTTTAGAAAAATCTCCAAAGTTAAGCATAAATTTTCATTTATGTGTCTATCACAAGTGATGGAACAGGAAAAATTACTTGATTAGAGTGATATTTTCTTGTTTATAATCTGTGAGTATCCCCACCTTGAACAGTGTGGTTTTTCTGACACCCTTTCTCCGTTTGAAGGTCTACATCTATTTCAGGCTCACTGCATCTATATCTTTGCAAAGTGAAGGAATCCACATAAATGAAAGAATCAAGATTTCAAAATGTAAGATCAATTTACTCGATCTAATTTTATCATCTGTTTGAAAATCCCATCATATTAATTCTAAAAATAATTGGAATTGGTTTAGAGCTCTAAGTTAGCTGCTGACCAATTTTTGACGAACAGATAAGGGTTTCATGAAATGTTTTTAAAATTGCTTTTGACTTTAAAAGGGGCATGACCATACAGGCAGTTGAAAGAATGTGGTTTCAAGCCTTACTTGTAATGGTTTCCATAAAACATACATAGGTTAAACATAGAAAAAACATTATTTTTGTTCAAAATCAAAAACCTTGTGCGATTGAAAAAGGGATAGTCCTGTTCAATGTTAAAGATTCTTATTCAACCAGTATTGCATCTGCAAAACCCCTTCTTTCCAATTTTCTACCCAATCTTCAATAAGGCATTTGAGCTGCAAGCAACAACACTCACATATAAATGTGACAAAATAGGGGGGTGGGCAAATATATAATGTGTTTGTGGATTGATGGCCCCCCAAACCCTCCTTTTTCATGCAGTCTGGATTTGGCAATTTGTTTTTCCATGCATTGCCGCTTCACATATTAAGTTGGTGCAAATTGGTTTTATGCGCTTACGGATTGTGGCTTTGGCTGATATTTGGTACTGTTATTTGGCATTCAAACACCCTGTACTAGGCACCCAATATAGACTGATGCTCAGTTGCATGATAATTGCATTAAGAATGAAACTAAGTTTAGCAACTTAAGAATTGGGACAAGCCAATAAATGACAAAGTAATGAAAATTAATGTTAGCTAATCTATTATAAAGAGCACTTTCCCAATAGACAGAGCTTGGTGAACAGAACATCAAATTTTCCATCCGCGCAATTTCGCATATTGGCCGCGCAAAGTCCCTATTTGAATACATTTCACATTAATAACAATACAAATTTCTTAAAAGTGTGTAATTTCAGGCGCGCAGTCGCGCAGTCAGGTGCGTGAAAGAAACAAAGCTTCCAGTCTTGGTGAATATATAAAATATGTACAAAACCTGGGAGAGATCATATATACATGACTCGACTTGGGTTGGTCATGTAATAGGCATAGTTGCAATTACAAGCATGTAGGCCAAAGCCGATCTGTCGGTGCAAAATATGCCGGGTACAAGCGAAAGAAATCCTGGCTGTCACATGCTCATGTCCATCTGAAGCATAGCTGCCAGCATATGCAAGTTTTCCACCTGGTAGTCTGAAGTCGCTCCTTTCCTAAAGAACCTGTTACTACCAGGTTAAGCCCCACTTTACACAAAATACATCACTTCTAAAAAACATATTATTTACAGAATAGATTACAAGGCGAAAGGATACTGTCCTGTGAGGAGATCTTGGCACTGTTTTGCGGTGACTCCTACAACCAAATTGGTCAAGAAAATTGTAAACAAGAACTGTTTCATTTTGCACTCGACTTTAGATTTTCTAGTACCATTCTTGGAGTGGTTTTACCGTTTTTCACATTACTTTTTTTCAAAGCTAGGCAGCCTGCAACCAATGCGAATAAAAACAAAACAAATTTGGGCTACAATATTCTTTTAGCCTCGATCAAAAAGGTCCTCGCTTTGAAAAAATATTCCACGAAATTGAGCGCGGGAAATATATTTTTTGTGAAAATGGAAGTAACCGAAGAAAACAACAAGATTTTGATGAATCACTTATCTGATATTCAAAATGACCTTGAAAAACGAAGTGAAGTTTTAAAAGAATTAGGGGAATATTTGACTAAGCTCGACAACTGGATGAAGTTGAGAACGGTATGCAAGTATAAAACTCATTATTGCTCTGATTTTGGAGCCGCCAAAAACAAATCATTTCCGCCAATCATAAAACCATCACTCATAACATAGTTAATTTAAATATTATTATTACATGTATACGGGTTTGTGAAGATTTTCAGCAATGCTTTTGTCATTACCTCTTATTTGATCAACGTTGCATGATTGTTAGTGACGCTCCCTTTTTGCACATGCAGCTGACTTACAACATGATTCAATTTATACCATAAGTTCTTGAATAAGACCCCACCTTTGAATAAGCCCCCTCTTCGAATTAACCTCCACCCTAAAGTAATTTGTGAAATAAGCCTGCATCTTCGAGTAAGCATGGATTCAATGGCAGCTGCACTCCCTGTTAATTTTTGTAATATTACGGGTATTCTCTCGCACACACATAGGATGGGCACCCAAAAGTGTGTCATTCTAAATTTAGATCAGTTTTGCCAAGCTTCAGTGGCCCTGGGGCAAAACTGAAGAATAATGGCCCTTGTACAGGAAGCAAGCAGAAAATTTTGCAGCAACGTTCTTTGGATTAGTTCAAAATACATTTCAGAGTGATTTGATGTAAAATTGATTTAAACAAAGGAAAAGTGCCGGCCAATTTTTGGTATCAACAGCCAATGGTCTGAGGTAAAGAAATCTTTGAAGGCTGTTTTTTTAAAAGGAATGTAGAATGCAAATCACACCGATAGCTGTTGCTAGTTTTCAGTTTATATTTTAATGATCAAGAAGTTATGAATATCTTTAAAGTTTTTACTTTAAATTCAGGTAGTAAAATTAATGATGTGCATGTGAAATATCAGCCACATTTTTGCACTACTTGTTATTTGCTTGTTTATGTGTGAATGGGATCAGCCGTGACTACCTAGTAAGTGCACGCAATTTAGAAAATGAGGTTGATATCTTGTGTGTCATGCTGTCTTAACTCATCAATCATTTAGCAAAATATTCCTGGAATTAACCCAGAATACAGAAGAAACCAGAATTCCTTCTTGGGCCACAGCCAGAGAATTGCCTTAGTCCTTAGCTCTAATTAACCCACAACTTTGCTATTTTGCAAAAGTCATCAGGTGCAGCTGAATTAAGGGGCACAGTGTGGTTGCTAATTTTGGCCTCCCTTCATCAAAATTTCATATCGATTATTATTTACTTTGTTGATAAAATGCTTAATGTGATTCCTATATAGCTTTAGATTGGCCATTGTAGAGTACAAATGCAATATTGAAAGAACTGCCAAGCACCGGAAAACTGCTCTCTCAAGTCTACAGAGTATTCAAAGATTACAATGAAGGTAATTTAGAAAAATATAAATGGTGTTTAATCGCAAACTCTTTGTGCTTTCATGTTTATTTGGTTGATGGACACTCCCTCTGTCCTAATCTTTTTTTAAATTTGAAATTAATTTATTCACTTAAAACATTTGAAGCAAATAGCAGTTTTTGAATTAAATTAAAACTTTTTTAAGATGAATACAGTTATGTAATTGGTTAAATCTTGCACTCAGTTGTGATTTGAATAGCTTTAAGAGTATTAGAAAGACTGGATGGATGGCTTTTGTAGCAAATCTTGATTTAAGTTAGAGGAATTGAGGGTTCTAAGACTTCCGTTCTCTTATTCACATTCCCTCTTCACCTGTGTTATTACCCTCAAATTGTTGAAAGAGTTTTATAGAGTCATGTACACTCAGGTTTGTAGAGTCAAACAGAGCTCAAGAAATATATGGGTTTAAGCACTGCTCAAGTCAAATTTATCTTCATTAGATGTTCTCCTCTTGAAATTTTATAAACGTTACAAACCACTTCTTTTAGCTGGCTTCCTTTCCGGTGTGTTGCTGGACTGCATCACAAATTTCTCAAATTTACTCAATTCCTTGAGAGATGACACTTCTAAGCACAACAAAAGAGTTCAATGCTGGGCAGCTGTGAGTTAAGAATTACATATCTACAAATTAAGTTTTATTATTTAAATATTTTCAAATTATGGAAGTTGCCTTGCTATGGTAGAATCTAGTCTGAATAATGTGTGCTATGAAACTGACATATTGTTAATATTTTTGTTTCAAAGGAATTGCTACAGATCTGTACACTTTCTTGCATAAGTGAAGATGAAGCTAGACTAATGGACTTATTCGGAACCTCACAAGATGAACTGGTTGATGCCCAAATTGTGGAGGTAATTTTTGATATTATGAATTTAGTTGGTGAAGTAGTTTGCCAGGCTAGACTGACAGTGGAACTCTGTTGAAAACCCCCTTTAGGGTTTCTCTGTCTTTTAAGTTCTTATTTTGTCATTGCTATAGTCTTTTTAAATATCCATACAATTCAAGTTGATCTCAGTTGAAGTTTCTAAAGAATTCCTGTGGATGAATTCTGTTTTGTATTGATGTCTTATTCGTTGTTCTGCCATTCTCGCCTTTGAACTATGTCTGTGACAATAGAGAGCTGAGATCAGTGTTGTTAGGCTGATCACAGGGGTACTTGGGATATATCCTTGGTGACAAGCTTCATGCACTGCATAAGCAATTACTATTTCAAAAATAGAGCAAGGATGTCACATTGAAGAACACCAGCATTGATGATGAGAAAAGTCTGGAGCTATAATAGGGAAAAGAGAAAAGGGAAGGAAGGAATGATTTTTCATTAAGCTGATCTTGATTATCCGGTCGTAAATTGAAAGAGCACTAAGAAACTGTGTTCAGGTGAACCTGGCAACCTCTAATGTTTTTGCTCAAAACAGGACTTTGAAACATTTCTTAGCGACCACTGAAACAAACCGTGAATTATGCTGATGTTGAAGTTATCTTCCTATTCGTGTGTTACACACCAAGACCAACGGCAAAAGTTGAATATTTTATCGTATTTTCTTCATAAGGGCTGCAAGATGGTTTCGTATATTGAAATATCGCATTTATCATTATGAAAATCGTTTAGCGTCAGTTATTTTAAGTAACATGAGTGCAGTATTTATTAAGGAAAGCTGTTTCTCATTGAAGCATGGAAACCTGCGTGTTGTTGAAATCAAATACCCATTTTACTTCTTTCTTGCATAACAGTGTTTGTTAATGTATTTAAGCAACTTTTCCTTTCTTTAGGTAGCATCAATTATCAACAATTTGCAGCCCGATGAGGGACTTCATTTGAAACTGCAGGACATTTCACAAATGCTCTTACCATTAATTGAAGAACCAAAACTGAAATGCATTGTAAGTTTGCTAACGTGTACTTTCTCCCTGTTGGTCTTCCCTCTAAAAACACTTACAAACAAACTTCAGTATTAAAATTTCTTTTGAAAACTCGTTTCCCAGATGTAACCCAGTTTCTTCCATGTTTCATTCGTCACTTTTAACAATTCGCGAAGGCTCTCTCTCTACCAGTTTTATTTCAATTGTGAAGTTATCTTCTGTTCAAGTGCTTTTTACAATTATCAAAACTTAAACCTTAATTTTATATCATATTTATCTTTTCAGATTGAATCAGTTGTTATTCTGCACGAAAAAAGTCTCCGGGTTTCAAGGTGGGTATGAAACTGTTGTTTTAGGCTCTCGTTCTCGTACCCAAAAGACGCTCTCGTATCCAAAAGACATCCCACGTGCCATTTGCAATCTTCCAGCGACCTAGCGATGACCTACCTGCTGTCCTCTGATGCCAGTTCATTAGTTCTGAGGCTGTTACTTTTGCACTGCTGGCCAGCGAAACAACGTATAGCATAATTAATGTCTTGATTGGTTGCTAGTAGACTGCAAGTGTGAAAGTGAGGCTTTTTCATTGAAGTAAAGTCTTTAAAGGAGGTTGCTCATGGTCGCACTCGTGCTTTTCTTCCTCTTCGAATGACCCGATATAATAATAATGAGATAATATTCTTTCCAATTTCAGTTTCAAGAATTTTTGCTATAGATAACGTTTCTGTTTCCAGGTTAGATCAAATTGTTGGTTCCGCCACGAATGAATTCTTCAAAAAACTTGCTAGCTGCCGAAATCTTGTTAAAGGTATTTTCAATATGAACTCATTTAAACAGAATAAGAAGTATTTTTAGATGCCAGAATTCTTCTCAGTGGAAAGCTGACAAATGCAAATGTCCGATTAATATTGAAGCAAGCTTTTGGTCTATGTCTGAGGAATACTAAAACAGATTTATTCTCATTTTCCTGCTTGGCTGAAACCTTATCAACAGCTTCTAAACTGAGTTACGAAAACAGCCTTCTTAGCAGCAAAGGTTCAAGTATGTTTGAAAGTAATTTATCTGCTGTTAGCTGTCAGTTAGATCGGACATTGACAAGCTTACAGGGCGGCCCTCTTCAGGAATGGAGCAATCCTTTTGATATCGCAGCTATAGTCCCATTGAGTGTACAATCTTCCAACTTTTATCAAATATGGCTTGTCTAATTCTTCCAAAATTGAAATTTTTGGGTAGGTCATAGTTTGTATTCTTTCCGATTGGATGACAGCAATATTTGAGCAGTTCGGTCTTGCCATTAAGCAACAAAATGGGGCGTTTCTGCGATATTTAAAGGGCTTAGTGTCAAGAATTTCCTCTAAGCAAGATAGTTTTTTATTTCTTATTTTCTTGTAGGGCCTTAACGCGAGTGAAACTCGAGTTTTTTGGAAAATTGGAAACTATTTGCTAAATTTTTTACTTAATTTCAATGTATCCAAGAGTAAATATATTTAAAGTCTGAAAAATTACTTAAAAAGCGTGTGTTGGGAACATATATTCAAGTTTATAGTTAAATTTTCAAAGAGATTTGCTCTTTATTTCAAATAAACCCATGGCGTATACGTCCTCTTGATAAACAATTTTCAATGATGACGTAATTAGTTAATGGTTTATTTCAGGATTGAAAAGCCAGATCTCATTTAATAACGATTTTCTGTAAGGTTTTAGCGACGATAGCCTCGTTGCCCTCTGGAGATGCTACCTTCCTGCGTTTGAATTCGAGGTTCGTATCCAGCAGCCTTTTGTTTTTCATTCTGACTTTTTTAGGGATAAGCCGACTTAATAAAACTTACATTTGTTTTGTTTGCATCAAGTAGTAAGGTGGCTCATGTTTGTTGCTGTCCTGCGGATCAAATAATCATTTCATCTTTTCTTAGATAATATTGGCCAATGGCTTGTTTATAGTTATTGATAAGCATTTTCATGTTGCATTTCTTTGCAGATCATTGACCTTGTGAAAATGGCCGTTTGCAGGCCGTTTAATGACAGCTACTCAATTTCAAAGTTGTTGGAGACTGAAGCGAGCCTTGTAAGTTGCAATATGTCATTTTCAGCTAACCTAGAAAAAGTTATATTTTTTAAAAATTTTTATCTAAAAGATAAATCTTTCAACTTCAAAAGAGCGTAAAGAAGCATGATTTTTCTTTCCAGGTCTGCACTTGCTGCAATAATTATCTGGAGTTTTATGAATGCACTTTTGATACCCTGAGGTTTGTTAAATCATTTCAGAATAACTATGTTCCTTCTTGTAACTACGTCAATGGCAGGTGCACTTGAGCTTAAACTTTATATTTAAATATTACATGTTGCTTCTATATTTAAATATATTGTAATGGGTCTTCCCTTGTCGTGTTATCTCTGCCACTTCCTCGCAGGTGAAAGCATCGTTTTTTCGATACCAATGCCAACCCAGGACTGCTTCTTGCAATAACACAGAATTTCTCTTTCAGACAATGCTTGCGGAAATTTGGTTGCTACCCAACCTTGGTTTCGCTAATCAGCACTTTACATGGAATGATTCTTATGAAATTATCTCAGGTAATTTTCAAGTAATTTTCTTAGCAAACTCACACTTTACAGAAGCGTATCTGTCTCACTGACCTTTATCTTAAGCTAATTTTACTTTGAACGCGATGAAGATTGTGTTTCTCAATGCAATGTTTTTACTTTCAGAATGATTTGCTCAATAACTCATTTGTTTCTGATGTGTTTCTTTCTTTACCGCCGACAATTGAAGGTATGTTACCCTAGGCCTCTTGGTTCTTGATTTTTGATATCAGCATCACAAATTTTTTTGCACCTTGACTTGTCCTGCTTCTTTTTTCTTATTTTAATGAAATACGCTGTTGATATTGCTTTTTAAACATTGAAGTATTTCTTTATTTTAGGTTTGAGTCTTGATTCAAAGTTGAACGCTGTTATGTTTATGTCACACGAATTAAATCGCCTAGAACATTGCAACTTATATGACAGGTACATCAATGTTTTTTCCTTACATTGTGTATTGGATGTTAGACAACTGCCAAAGGTCTTGCAAAACTAACGTCAATTTTCAAAGTCAAGTTTGGCCATCCCTTTCTCTTTCTTGAGACAGTTGCAGTCTCTTATTAAGACGGTAATTCCTTTTTATAACTGCAGTTGCTTGTTTTACTTTCCGTTTTTAAAGGGCGTTTTGATTCCCAGTAGATCAGACACGTGGTTTGCCTTGGTGAAATACAAATATGTCGTTGACAGCGCACTCACTTTCACCTTCCACGATTCAACATCTGTAAGTAGCAATGTGGTCGTTTGTCTTTATGTCCTTCAGCATTTTTTTCTGCTGTTTGCAATGAGGAACCTGCACAAGATATCCTCTGTTATCATTTTTCCTTGCAAACAAATAGCAAGCATCTCTCTCTTATCAGATAACGAAGGGTATTTTTAAGAAATTTATATTTTTTGCTATTTATTGCATCCAAGATACCCTGACCAAGGGTTCCTTATCAAAGCAACTTTTTTACTTCGTTATGTAGCCTGTTGAACACACTGCAATAATCCCTGCAAAGTATCGATCGAAATTCGACTCTTTCTTTTAGCATATAGAGCACTGCATTGATCTTCTTTGCTGGTTCTACTTTCCAACAAAGCCGATAGCAGCAAAGGTTTGTTTTTTGCTTCTAAAAACTTTTCGATACATTACGTATTGTCCTATCCATCATCACGCCGTTATGACATGTTTTCCAGGCTTTAGCATATCCTCGATTGAAATAAATGTTGATCGTTTGATTGTTCGAATTTCTGTTTTGCTTGAAATTTTAAAATCAGATTGCTACGTATTCATGTTGCTTTATCGACATTTTTCTTCGGGCTTCCTTCCAGAAAACCTTTCAAGCTGTCATCTCGAATTTAAAAGGCCTTGTATCAAGAAATTTGTTACAAGTATCGGATCTTTCTGATGTTATCAACTCATGCACGAGCAATGTGGCTGATGGTATTAACCCAATACCATTGCTCCGTGCCTTGGTATTTCAGTTCTTGATTCGTGCCAATGCAAGTCATTGCATCATGCAAGAATCCCTTTCTATGGTACATTTTTTGCTTACTTTATGCCACTTTACCAAATGTCGTGATTTTTCAGTTATATTTTGACTCTCTCTGAAAATTCTGCTTGTATTTGCTATTTGTCATGTTAAATTGTCAGTGATACTAAAAACTCCTTTTCTGAAAATTTTAGGTTACAGAGGATCTTACAAATGAAGAAAAGTTGGATTCGTGGCTCCGTTCTTTGGAACAATATTTTATGGACGGCTGCAATGACGGGGACAAATTTAAGCTTGCCAATTTCAGAAAAGTTAAGAAAAGAGCATTTATTCTCAACCTACGTGTTTTGTTAGATCAAATAAGCCCAGAAAATTTTTTATCTGTCAATGCCAAGCGTACAACGGCTTCAGAAGAAGACCAGTGCCAACAAGAGTGCCAACAAGACTTAATAAAACGCACCATGAAGTTGATACAGATAATTGAAGCAAGTCATTAATATTGCATTTATATTTATATTTAGATAGACCTTAGTCATTTTATCAGATTTTCGTTGTTCATAAACATATATTCTGTAGGCAACCCTTAATAATGAGCTTGTTGCCTTAGCGATTTACTTCAAAGAGGAAGGCTATCCATTTTTCCGTTCTTCGTTTCCGTTTCGCAATTAGGATCTGCCATGCCCACCTGCAGCGTTTTTTAGAAAGCAGCCTCACTTTGAAATTTTCGAGGTAAGCATGAATGCGCAATCAAGGCTCTTCGGCAGCGCCATTTCACGCGACTGCGGACTCTGATTCCATTTGAAAAGGCTGACAGTTGGCACATTACATGTATTCCCTTCACTGCCGTTAACTCAGACTTGAATCTTATTTATTTTTTAACTGATTGTCATTTGTAATGGCCAAAACCTTTTGACAGTTGATCGCAGTTACTTTTTGCAAAGAGCTGGTGTAAACGCCCTGAACTAAGCGCCACTGAACATCGCTATCGACAACGCTCTATAAATCTCGAAAATTGTCGAGCAAAAATTGAACAGGCCTCAATATTTTCATTTAACGACCTGTGTGCTATTTCTGACAATCTAATCAAACGTGAAGAGAAGACGAAGCTAGAAGGAAACAGTTGCTTGTACAGAGCATTGTATGGTGTAATGCGCATTTCACTGATTTACTGGAGTTGAATTGAATTAACAGAATTTGTATATGAATTACAACATATAAACGTACCTAATTAACGCAATATAAAGTAAACAAAAACGACTTGATGACTGGTTAGAAACATCGAAGTTTCGACAATGTCATGAAAGGATCCAAATTATGACAAGGAATTGTACAGAAGAATCAGTTGAATGAAATGAGCATAGCAAAACTGGATGGCCTAAATTGAGACGCAAAGCATTTACTACAATAATGAAAAAGTTTCTAAAGTGTGACGATATTCCTAATATAAATTTTGTATCATATGGTGTACGATTCAAGCAAGACCAAATGACCCTTGCTCTGTTCCCAATTTCATGGTAGAATTTCCATTCATTTATCTTCAAGCAATACGATGTTTTTGATTGATGCCCATGCGACAAAATCTTCAGTAATTCGTATTCGAATGCATAAAATTGGCTTTGAAAAATGTTTTTCATTCTCACTTGCTTCTTTTGAGAGCTCAACAAAGAAAACTTCATTAAACGAGGCAACAACCTCGTACTGGGTGCATTCACCCTGGTCTTGGCTATAACTGAACTCTAAGAGAGCCTCTGTCAGCGAATCTCGACCGGAGATGTCAAATCCTGATTCTATGTATACTGTTTTGAGTCTTGATGGGTTTTTGAATTTGATCGTTAAGTAGTTCCCCTTCTTAGGTGTGATAAACCAAGAGAAGCCTTTCCCTAAGTACGCGTTTTCAGCATTGTACACGCCGTTAGCTAGTAGATTGGTCTCAATGGTTGCAGGGGGGTTGGAAGACTCTGGTCGTACTTTAGTCAAAATTGGATCGCCAATATATTGGTATTTATCAGTATGGACACTGACAAAGGCGATTGTTTTTAAGATATCTATGGGCCTTCCTAACTGTGCCATTGCATAGAATGTTCCATATACACGTGGTAAGTACCTCCCGTTGAAAAGCATCGTAAAAAAGCTGTTCTCCTCAAATTCAACGTGCAAGGTATTCGGCTTCATATTGTCCATCTCCTTGAATACTGTGTTGATCGCTCCAATGCCTATGGCAGAATCGCTGTCCACCATGAATGCATGATCCGCAACTTCCAAACAGTATTTTAATAAAAATGCAATGCGATAATTGATCAATGATATTGTTGATGAAACTTCCTTTAAGTCTGCGTTTCTAACTCTTTCAAAGTAATTAGGGTCTACGTCGAATCTCGATACAACCAACTGTACGTAGCCACTTTTCACCAAGTCGTTTATCTCTGATTGGATATGGACAACGATCTCCTTCGCTTTTGTCTTTCTTGTCTCAGCTAGCAGCAACACAACAACCAAAGACTGTGCGCCTTCGCGCTTTGGATCTTGCTCTGCGATTTGACGAACCGCTTTGGTGAACTGGTACCAACCGCAGCAACTGCCGCGCAGGAGCATTGCTACCGCCAAACTCACTGCAAAAGTATAGGCAAAATGACAAGGTCGTAGTCCATATGCTTTTATACATAAAACTTTCTAACTAGTATTTGACAAGTGAAGTTTTAGTAAGAAACATCATTCTCAATCAGGTTGTCTGTTATACTTGAAACTCCGAGTAGCAGCATTAATTAGTTTCTTTTTTTAAACTTCGTCACTACAGTTCTTGTTAAGATAGTATTAATTAATTTTCAGTTTCAATTTTCATATGAAATATTGCAAGGAACATTCTTCCCGTGGAACAATCGGCTTGGATTCGATAAGACATTTACTATTAAAAAGAAGAGACTCCATGTATCAAGCTTGTAGTACACCTTGACATTTTTTCATCCAGTCAATCAAATTTTGCATAAGATCATTTTTAAGGTGTCAGATCATTACTAAGGTATTGAGGTATCAGTTTCAAGGGCCTAAAATCTGGAATTCACTTCCAGAATCAATAAAGGCAAAACAAAATACTAGACAATTCAAGAATTTTATCAAAACATGGTTCCTTGAGAACAAGTGCGCGTGCTTTTTTTGCAATAAGCAATTTGTCTTATGCAATCCTTGAAATCGCTTTATGTTAGTTTTAATTGGTGTACGTTCACTATTGCAAAAACTAACATTAAATAATCAATCCAATTACAATAAAAAAAATGCTCCCGAGAATTTAAAAGCCCTGAAATAAGTATGTACCTTTCTTTGGCAACCTCTTGCCGAGAAGAAGGGAATTCTCCTTCACAAGGTCTGGCAACGGAAGCGGCTCCTCAACGTTGTTCTCATCTGAACCAATGGAAGACTTGCCTTCTCTCTGTTTACCTTTATCTCTCCCTCTATCTAATAAAGTGGAACACATCATAGAAAACAATGCCATAGATTATTTTAAGTGCGAGAGTGTAATCAAATACAAATAAAAACTCCACAGGGTGTGTTTATTATGATTAGAATGTAATAGAAAATTTTCATTTTAAAAATAGGCCTGCAATTAAGCACAACACACTTATCATTCCTAGCCTTTCCTACCATTTGTTTCCGCCTACGACACTGCAGTCCTGATTTTAGCAATTAGCTTCTATCTAGATAGTCGTATATTTCATATATCTAAATAGAAGTTTTGAGTTTAATCAAGAATAGTGGCGAACAGTGATCGGTGAATCATAGACCTGGTAGTCATTTCCCTGGCTCTGTGTTCTCTGCCCGGAAAATAACACGCAGCCCAAGTGGAAATTCACCCGTTAGCTGTTTGATTGATATGTACAAACGAATGGCATTATAAAATTTTGCTTTCCTTTCAAAATTAGATTGCCTGAAACGTCTCACCCCCCCCCCCCCAATAGTTGTAATAGGACTGGAACCTAGTTTATATTACTCTATGATAATTTATATTGCTTGTGTATAGTATGTATTGTTGTAATTATGTAATGATGATTAGTCAGTTTCGAGTCTCAACACGAGTTACACGCTATCGTCATCGCTTCTTACCGTATACGACTACTCGTAAGTTACAGCTAACCCTTAACCTGTAACATAGTATCTCAATAGGAAATTTCAGGTAAAACGTGCTCGGTGGATAAACGCTTTAGGTATTTCAGAGACCTTTCTGTCATAATATCAATAAGTGATCAAGTAAAGGTAGTTGCTCCGTTGGTTAAATATGATATTCCTTGATATGAATAAAGGTAAACAAACTAATGATTGGAAGATGTGAAGATTTCTTGTTGGCACTTAATCGAAAAACCCAGGCCCTCTTTAGGTAAAATTGTGTCTTGAGTACATTTCCCCTAAAGTTTCTTGGAAGGAGCGTCAACCGCAATTCACTATGAGCGAGCTCCAGATTATTTGGGCATGCTAAGATGGAAAGAGGGATCTAAATTGGCAACCAGTGCTGCTTGTTACCTAGCGTAACTGACAACATGGTATTTTTCATGTCCACGGCGAAATTGTACCAGTTGTTTTCATCTACTGTTAAATTTGTTTGCGAAAAATAATAATTTTCAATAGGATAAGCAGGATTGCTTTGGTGAATTGTGCTTAAAAGAGTGCATTTTCCAGCGAACTAGAAGCAACAAAATTCGAAAATTTCTTCCTCCTTCGGTTAGTAACTATACCCTTTGCCCGTTGTAGAAAATAGCGTTTTGTTAACGTTGACGTAAGATCACGTGATCAAGGGAGGTAGGGAGTAAGAGTAGGAGAGAGTCACACGCGTTTTTGAGAAAAAGGATTCGAGTTAAGCTTCGGCCATCGTTTTAAATCGATATAGTTAGAAACGGGTTCTGCAACATAGGTAGAACATCCAGATTATGTTTGAGATTGTGGCCTTTCAAGCCGTTTAATCACACGAACTTCTTGAGCATAATAATTGGCAAGTCAGAGTGACTCAGGCCAGCATTTTCCCCACACCCGTCCCGATATAGAGATTTGACAAAACTATTAGGAAAATCTGTTATTATCATAAAAAAATGAAAGTTGTGAATTATATACAGAGTTAGATTCACAAAATGTATTGCAGAGGTTTGTGGCAGCAACTAAAGAATTTCAGGCAAAAATGTTTTAATCAGGTAACTTGTAGTCTACATCCCCCCCCCTCCCCCAACAAGGCTTGCCTCACGACGGCCCTGCCTAGGAGCTAATTTGAGGAGCTAATTTCTAATATAAACTGATATAAGATGGAGCGCGCAGACAGGCGCGCAACCAGGAATTTCAGAGGGCAGGGGTCCAAGACAAAAAAGGGCACTAAGGAAACTTTTTTCACGTTCAACAGAAGAGATGCCAGGGTGCATTTCATGTACGCCGAAGGTCCATCGGGGCATTTGTTTAGGTACACCAAAAATATGAGCAGTTAGTATACCTGTAAATATTGTGCGCCAGACAAAGAAAACTGACCAAAAATTGTGATCTATGAATCTGTATCTTATTCCTTCGTCTATTTTCTCAAATCTCAGCGGACTTCTCCTTTCTGTCTAAAACCCGGGGCCGCCGAGAGGTTTTGGAAACCCGAGGGGGGGAATAAAAGACCTCTTGCGAGCGAAATGAGCAACAAAAGTTTGTGACCACGCCCTTATGAATAGCTTGAATTCATTCATTCGTTCAAAATGTTTACTTTTTAAGTGTATTTTTTTACTTTTATTTAATTCCATATTAAAACAGAATTAATTGCTTTATGAGGCCCCCTAGACCTCGCGGCCAGAGGGCAATTTGCCCCCTTGCCCTCTCTCGGCCGCAGCTCATTTGTAAAAACCAGTCCTTTATTCTCCATATCCGAAAACAATTTGCTCTTTAAAATATGAACAGCCTTAAGAACATTGAATCATATGCTTTGCATTACAGATGGGAGGAGGTTTAACCCTGAGTTATAATACAGCTGAACATCAACTTATTGTGGTATCTTCACTGCTTCCTAATACCAGTCCGCGAATATTTCTCTACATTCGCTTGTTTCATGCAAAGGTCCTCTACGAATCTTTCAATTATATGGGCCATTGAAACAGACAGAAAGATGTCTTGGTTTCTTTCTTCTGACTTTTTTACCAGTAGTCATAGGGGCCTATCCCATTCAAAGTATTGTGCCTTTATTTTGGTTTTTGAGTCCCAGAACAATTCTTCTCCAAAACCAGTGCGTAGCGCATCATAAAACACGCTGTAGAGTAGGAGCTTCAACATGGACTCTATTACTGCGTGAAAGTCTGACAAATCATTTATCTGTATTTCTTAGAGGTTCATTATATCGCGGGGATGTGTCATTTATGAAGATTCTCTTTAGTGTGATCAAAAAATATTCAAGCAATTTTTTCAAAAGAAGGGCACTTTTCCTCCTTTGAGAAAAAGGGCAGTAGTTTCGCGCCTGAAGCGAAAATAATAAACAGGGGGGCTAAGAATACGGACGTCCTTGGAGGATTGGGGGGCCAAAGTGCATTCTATTTTTTCTCCACCGGGCATTCCCGCCAGGCATCTGGGCATGGCAAGAATGTTTATGGCAGATTATGCTATTTTTGGTAATTTCTATCGTATAAGTTGAGTTTTACTGCTCTTCTTGATGTTTGTGTTTGTTTGATCCAAAATAAGAAACTAGATATAAATTAAAGTGGTAAAACGCTGAAAAAGACGTAATAAAATAATTTTTATAGCTGTGGTTTAATCTAGTTGTTTTATTCAAAAAATTATTTGGTCACATCATAGGTAATAGAGGGACTCCCCATTAAACATTTCGCAAGCATGATTTGAGCAGGGCAGAATAACAATGATTGGGGAGGGTGCTAGACAACAATTTTGGTGCCAAACCCTTCAGGTCACTGGTAAATAATGGAAACGCCCAATTTTGAAATTCTGATTTTTTTGCTTAAGGAAAAGATAACAAGAAGCGGTGGTGTAGACAGAGTTGAAAGATTGGAGGGGCAAAGAGGGATACATTTTTGCTGATCAAACCCTTAAGAATTTGGGAAAATACCCCATTTTGTAAATGCTTTTGAAAAAGCTATAGCTTTTTTACGTGGCATTCTCGCTTTATACAACATCATATGTAGCTTATTGTGGCTGACCCCATTCTACAACTGTCTATTTCCTTCACAATTTCTCAAATGCTTATATTCTGAATTGTGCAAGCCAAGGAAGCATTACGTGTAAAAAGTGGTTTTCCGAAGTTGTAATCAAATATATAAAAATAATAAGCAGTATTTAAAAGTTGCAAACTAAGTCCGTTCTCCTTGGATCAGAATCTGCAAATTCCCCGACAACCATTTCAGAATCCAGTTTTTTTAAGGATTGAAGCGCTTTAGCATTTTAGCTCCTATTTTATCGGGATGGTCTAAAGAACGTGAAGGACCTTGCTATATAAACCTTAAAACGTGGGATGAATTGTTGAACATTCTTTAGAGTTATAGAGGAGGGTCCCCTGCAGAAAATTTTTGTGGCGACACCCTTGAGATAAGCTTAAAATACATTTAAGAAAATTTTTCATAATCGTTTGCTTGCAGTCTTTAAAAACGCTAAAATATTGTCTGAAATATAAAGTAACCCCACTTAAGGCTCTAATTCTATTGCGGATTTGCACTTTTCTCAGACATCGACTTTCTGAGCGGCCGCTCCCCGGTGGCGTGGGCCCTGGACCATCCATCTATTGTTCTATCCTCAGCATACTATTGTTCCATTGTATTGATATCAGTTTGGCCAAATTTAACCGAATTTTGAAGCTGATTTGGCTGAATAGTCTGGGAATAATCTAACAACCCCGATAGGAAGATAAATAAAGTAAAATCTTGGCGTTACTTTGTTACTACTGACTACCAAAAAATGATTTTTACTGAATGGAACCAAATTTACCGAAGGACACAGAAATATTGGGGGGTTTCAAACACCCTACACACCCTCACTAAATCCGTCCCTGGATTTAAGGGTTAATTACTAACAAAATTTGTTAAGGTATATTAGAACTAGCTGCTAGCTGTCATGACCATTCACACTACGCCAGCTTATTGCATTCATGATCAAGGTTCTGCATCACGATAGTACTGCCCGCCAGAGCAGGACAAAACCAATAAAATCTACGCCAAAATCCTTGGCATGATTTGAAATCGGTCGGGAGATCGCTCTCCGCCGGATTTCTCCGGGGGGAAGGGCCTTGGAATGCACTCTAGGCAGTGGGGTGCATTTATTATTTTTGGCACGGGAATAATGTTTTGTTAAAATAATTCCTTCCTTCTTCCTCTCTGAGTTAAATCGCTAAGGTACCACGTTCATTCCCAGGGGTTGCCTAAAGAACATGAGAGAAAAGTAAACAAACTCTCACAAGTACTTATTATATGTGTTTCGCTTACCTGTTAAAAGGATAAAGATATTCACCGTGAGGGCAATTACCAACAAAGCAGAAATCCAGTTTGTGCCGGATCCACGCAAAAATCGCCACATTTCCTCGTCTGAAATGAGAATTCATTCACTCAGGTGGCTTTACTCTACCAGCTAGAAAACATTTAAAGCTGGATATTATCTAAGGTGTACTGCCCAAAGCCCTATTGAATTTAGAAGATTGATTCCCCGCATCTTTCATACACTCAGATAGGTAGTCATGCCTAATTAGGCTGTTGCCACTGTCCACCTAACGATTCTTATAATTTGCCCTTCTCTTTACTGTTTACTAATTGCATGGAATGGAACGCACTCATAGAAAATACAGTATTCAAATTATGGCCTCTTGTGAAATCATTTTGAATCTGATGATGAGTTTTGCTTTCCATTATTCATCAACAGCCTAATGAAATTACTTAAAAGACTCATTGCTAACAATGAGCCATTGCGCTACGTAGGCATCCCATAATGCATTTTTAGACAGTCTGAAATCAACTTTGGTTAATCCGTAGAAAATTACTGCCGTTGTTTGGACCGTCGCCACGTTCGCAAAGGCTCATTGTTAGCAATGAAACTTTGAAGTTTAAACGACGACCCAGTCGCCAATGACGACAAAATCCCTTGATAAAATTTTTATCTGAATTTCGTCATAACATGAATTCAAAAAGCACTGGTGCAAGGACAACTTTCATGCAGACTATCTATCATTCTAGTCCTGAATTTAAATCTCCATTTAACATTGCCAAGGAAGTGATTTTCAGAAAGAAGCCATAACTGAACTGATATTCTGTTTTGTCCCCTTGTTATTTAGCCTCCGTGCAAACTTCACTTTCCGTTGCGAAGGCTGCGCGCAGGCTACTTGCAATTTGACCCTGACGACCTGATGCCTAACTCCCCATCTATTAATAGGCAACCAATAGCATCAGTATAATATATCATAGTATAGTATGAATATAAAGCATTGATAGTATGAGTATAAAGCATTGATAGTATGACTATAAATAAAGCATTGATAGTATCAGTATAAAGCATTGATAGTATCAGTATAAAGCATTGATAGTATGACTGTAAATAAAGCATTGATAGTATGAGTATAAAGCATTGATAGTATGAGTATAAAGCATTGATAGTATCAGTTTAAAACATTAATAGTATCAGTATTAAGCATTGATAGTATCAGTATAAAGCATTGATAGTATGAGTATAAAGCATTAATAGTATGAGTATAAAGCATTAATAGTATCAGTATAAAGCATTGATAGTATGAGTATAAAGCATTGATAGTATGAGTATAAAGCATTGATAGTATGAGTATAAAGCATTAATAGTATGAGTATAAAGCATTAATAGTATCAGTATAAAGCATTGATAGTATGAGTATAAAGCATTGATAGTATGAGTATAAAGCATTGATAGTATGAGTATAAAGCATTGATAGTATCAGTATAAAACATTAATAGTATCAGTATAAAGCATTGATAGTATCAGTATAAAGCATTGATAGTATCAGTATAAAGCATTAATAGTATCAGTAAAAAGCATTAATAGTATCAGTATAAAGCATTGATAGTATCAGTATAAAGCATTTATAGTATCAGTATAAAGCATTGATAGTATGAGTATAAAGCATTGATAGTATGAGTATAAAGCATTGATAGTATGAGTATAAAGCATTAATAGTATGAGTATAAAGCATTAATAGTATCAGTATAAAGCATTGATAGTATGAGTATAAAGCATTAATAGTATGAGTATAAAGCATTAATAGTATCAGTATAAAGCATTGATAGTATGAGTATAAAGCATTAATAGTATGAGTATAAAGCATTAATAGTATCAGTATAAAGCATTGATAGTATGAGTATAAAGCATTGATAGTATCAGTATAAAGCATTGATAGTATCAGTATAAAACATTAATAGTATCAGTATAAAGCATTGATAGTATCAGCATAAAACATTGATAGTATCAGTATAAAGCATTAACAGTATCGGTATAAAGCATTGATAGTATCAGTATAAAGCATTAACAGTATCAGTATAAAGCATTGATAGTATCAGTATAAAGCATTGATAGTATCAGTATAAAGCATTGATAGTATCAGTATAAAGCATTAATAGAATCAGTATAAAGCATTGATAGTATCAGTATTAAGCATTAATAGTATGAGTATAAAGCATTAATAGTATCAGTATAAAGCATTTATAGTATCATATCAGTATAAAGCATTGATAGTATCATTATAAAGCATTGATAGTATCATTATAAAGCATTGATAGTATCAGTATAAAGCATTGATAGTATCAGTATAAAGCATTGATAGTATCAGTATAAAACATTGATAGTATCAGTATGAAACATTAATAGTATCAGTATAAAGCATTAATAGTATCATTATAAAGCATTGATAGTATCATTATAAAGCATTGATAGTATCAGTATAAAGCATTGATAGTATCAGTATAAAGCATTGATAGTATCAGTATAAAACATTGATAGTATCAGTATAAAGCATTGATAGTATCAGTATAAAGCATTTATAATATCAGTATGAAGCATTGATAGTATCATTATAAAACATTGATAGTATCAGTATGAAGCATTGATAGTATCAGTATTAAGCATTGATAGTATCAGTATTAAGCATTGATAGTATCAGTATAAAACATTGATAGTATCAGTATAAAGCATTGATAGTATCATTATAAAGCATTTATAGTATCAGTATGAAGCATTGATAGTATCATTATAAAACATTGATAGTATCAGTATGAAGCATTGATAGTATCAGTATTAAGCATTGATAGTATCAGTATAAAACATTGATAGTATCAGTATAAAACATTGATAGTATCAGTATAAAGCATTGATAGTATCATTATAAAGCATTTATAGTATCAGTATGAAGCATTGATAGTATCAGTATATCAAGCATTGATAGTATCAGTATTAAGCATTGATAGTATCAGTATAAAACATTGATAGTATCAGTATAAAACATTGATAGTATCATATCAGTATAAAGCATTGATAGTATCAGTATAAAGCATTGATAGTATCATATCAGTATAAAGCATTGATAGTATCAGTATAAAACATTGATAGTATCAGTATGAAACATTAATAGTATCAGTATAAAGCATTAATAGTATCATTATAAAGCATTGATAGTATCATTATAAAGCATTGATAGTATCAGTATAAAGCATTGATAGTATCAGTATAAAGCATTGATAGTATCAGTATAAAACATTGATAGTATCAGTATGAAACATTAATAGTATCAGTATAAAGCATTAATAGTATCATTATAAAGCATTGATAGTATCATTATAAAGCATTGATAGTATCAGTATAAAGCATTGATAGTATCAGTATAAAGCATTGATAGTATCAGTATAAAACATTGATAGTATCAGTATGAAACATTAATAGTATCAGTATAAAGCATTAATAGTATCATTATAAAGCATTGATAGTATCATTATAAAGCATTGATAGTATCAGTATAAAGCATTTATAGTATCATATCAGTATAAAGCATTGATAGTATCATTATAAAACATTGATAGTATCAGTATAAAACATTTATAGTATCAGTATGAAGCATTGATAGTATCAGTATAAAACATTGATAGTATCAGTATAAAACATTGATAGTATCAGTATAAAGCATTGATAGTATCAGTATAAAACATTGATAGTATCAGTTTAAAACATTGATAGTATCAGTACAAAGTATTTCTGAACGACGTTATAAGACACTACGTTTCTTCATTCAGCGAAGTACAAAATTAACATTTGCTTGAGAAGAACGCCAAAACTGAAAAAACATCAATTTTTTGTCATATGTTGGACTGACTACCTCTCAAATCCTCCATGAAGTTCACTAATGCATGTGTCACTAAAACAGTACACTGCATGCATGCCTATCGGCTCGAGCCCGAGGAAAACATCTTTAGGGGGCCAAGAAGGATTAAGGTTGCTAAGTCTTTTATTAGCTTCAAGCGCCAAAATTCAAGCGCCAAAATTCCAGTTTCTAATTTTTTGATGCTTAAATTCTTTTTAACGGGGCGAGAGCCTCCTTGCTTTTGACAAATTGGCAGTTTAAACAAAGTTTTAAACAAACTTTTATCAGTAAATCTGCTTGTTTTTAGAGGTTTGGCCCCCCATCTGAAAAATGAATTTCCTCCTCTGAAGTAATGCAAAGATGATCTTTCGCACCTCGGAAAACTGAAGGATTAGAGTAGCACAGGGGTCTGTGTTGGGCCTTTTTCGTTCAAGGGTCTTAGATTATGACTATTTTCGGTACTGAATAATACATTATATTGATTATATCACCAGTGGCATGGTGGCTCCAACTGGCTAGGGGGGCATCAACCTTTTTTGGCGTCCCCTTAAGTTAAGCCTATGGTACAACTCTAGCCGGGCGGGCGGAATTTGATTGAAAATGGGGGGCACAATGTTATCATTGTTCATAGGTTTCATTTAGGCAGCCACCAAAATTTTCAATGTTTAGCATTTTAGGGACTACTGGAATCTGTACCTGAAATGATTTCAATATCTATTGAGTTTGAAAAAAGATCCTAGGCAGTATCCATAAACTTTCTTTTATCATTATGCCATAATGTTTAGATGGTACATTACTAAATTGATCAAGTATAGAATTCAAACCGTAACAATCATTACGCCAAAAATCTTAAGAATCTTAAAGGGTTTAGTGAAAACCGCCACCAAGGTTGGCGCCACGATAAATTTTGAAAGTACATCTTTCTAGGGATGACACGTCGCTTTAGACCCAATGGAGATATAAGAAAATATTTATAAGCATCATTTTTTGCTTTGTAAAGTTGAAGCATTATTTTTCAAAATCAGATTGTTAAAATGTCCCATAGTGTTTGTGTCTCATTTCCAACCTCCGTGAGGTCAAACAAGTCAGTGGGTAACTCACGGATGTTCGGTAACTAATAGTAGATTGCCAAGAGATGCTGGGATGTCATCCCTACCCTGGGTTGCAGAGTGAGAAGGGTTCCGCACGGGTTGCAAAGAAGGTGTATTTGTGCGAGAGTGT